AAAAGCTGGCAGGGCTAGCGACAAAACCCTCCCCCCCCCCCCTCTTCGTAACTTCTCTCAGTGATCTAAGTATGGTGAATAAATGATAAGCTTTAGTGTCAGGATTTTCTACAATAATTTATGAATATCCCCTCAGTACACATACAAAACGAAGGGGGACTCTTAACGTATCAATGTCCTCACTGGAACAACTGTGGTTCTTTAGAATATATTTACTCCTCACCACGGAGAGGGAAGGGTGAAAGGGATTACCTCGTTAACCTTTTGACTTCTCAAAGTGACGAGCATCTAATTTCTCCTTACAATACCACTGCCGATCAAACATCAAGGTCATGAGAATAAAGGAAACGATCGCCTCTAGGAGAAGCTCTTGATCGTTGTGTAAATTCTTCTTGCTTGTACCATGGGAAATGAATAGAGAACAGTATGGAGAAAATACATTTTGATTTTACGATCTAAGGGTTAAACGTCACACCTGCTTCAAGTCCATTGTGACGGTGGCACACGCGTATTACTGCTCTTTTTGACCATTTGTTCAAGAAATCTAAAATTCATATATCTATCTGGTAACCTTGATTCAAAAACCCCGACCGTAACAATCGATTTGATTCATTGGTTGCGTTGCTCGTGATACTCCGAGTTTCGTGCACGAGATAATGTTTAGCGTCTGCGAAGCCGCAAGAAAACCGTTTCAACTTGCCAAATTATTTAAACTCTCCTTGCGGTTAGTGTGTCTGTACACTGAAATTGTGTTGTGCAATCTCGTGAGCAATTCTTTAATATAACCCAACAATCAAGGAAAACGGTCATAATCGATCGTCCGGGAGTTAGAGGATTTTGGTGTGTCACAGAATTTAGCTGATCCCCCATCTAAGGCTCTGTAATATTTTTATTTTCCTCTCCTCACTGGCAGGTAATTGGCGGTCAATTTTCTATAGTCCCTATTTATACTCTGTTGGTGAAGACTGATCCCCCTCCTTCCCCTCTGAAAACCATATGATCCCCCAAAACCCAACCCACCCCCCCCGGCGATAATGATTGGTCCCTAACGGGGAAGCCCAAATTCCCGATAAATGAATGATGCTATTTTTTTCTTTGGGCGGTGTCTATAGAGTGCAAGGATCATTTTTCTTTGTGCAAACGATTCAAGAAGTTTTGCACACAGTCAAAACCAGAAAATATCGAGTTCATGGAGTTTCACTGTCCATTGACTTGCGGCAAGTGTAATCACAGGAATTTGCCAATAAACGGACAGAAAATCCAGATGGACGATTGGAGGAAAATTTAATTGCTGAACTAAGAAGGGTAAGTAAATCGACTTTCATTGCAAATCGCGCACCTAAAAAAAAATGCTGAAGAAGGCCAAAGTACGTGAACTTCCTCGTTTGTTAATCTGTTGCCATTTTCTTAAGTATAAACACGTCTAACTGTTTAAATTGTGAGCAGTTCCTCCTTTGGGCTAAAATAAGTCATCAGCCACGCTTGGATCAGTTAGCGCGGTTAGGAAAGCTAACAGGTGAACGAGGTTGGGTCAGAATCATGATAATCTAAAGCATGAGTAAAAGGCTTCAACACTGAAGTAGGTATTACTGAGTTATAATGATCAAAAGTTCGTTTCTCTTTCAGAGATTTGGTGGATGGCAAAGTCCTCTCACAAGATGGAACGTCAATATCCTTAGGCCTGTTGTTACATTTAAATGTGAGGTTGCCTTCAAATCAATGACTATGGAGGACCAATACTTTCATTACACTCTTGCTAGCTGGATGGTGATTTTGGGCAAATTTTGAGGGAGCGTCGAAAAAAATCCAAGATTGTATTGATTTTAATTTCCTTTGCACTGTGATTGGTCTGGAAAGTTCTCGACAACGTTTAAACCAAATACATGCTGCATTTGTTTTTTCAGCAATTTAGACAGTTTTCTGAGAAGTTCGCTTTTTTTTACTTTGAGTTCACCTCCTCGCCGTAGTCATATTCTCCTCTGTTCGTTTAAGATGTAGTGATAACTTTTTAGTTTTACAACGCTCAATTTTATCTAGATTTTTATCGCTCTATCCATGTTGGTATCTAGTTATCAGAGTATAATCAATCGAAATGTGCTCTGTCCGGTAGATATGGCGTTGTATGCAAAAATTAATGCCTAAAGGTTAGCAGGACAATATTTAGGAATGCTTAAATAGCTTAATGCTGTAATAAAAAATTTTTGAAAGAGATATTTGCGCAATAGAATGCTTTGCTTCATTAACAGTCTATCGCCGTAAAAATGCGATAAAATTTTTAATTTTCGAGCCGAACACCCCGAGTCGGACGAACACCAAGCGGCCATCGACGATTGCCCTGGAAGTGTCTGCCTAACTGTGGCGGGTTTACCTACTGGAATAAGCAGATCGCGGGATATTCAAGGGAAAGAAGCCAAGTTTCTCGGGTCGATTTTCGCAAGATGGGACGGTGCTGTTGAAATATATCACCTCAACAGCGATGAGTTTGACTCAGACTTCGCTGATGTTGCCAGGTTTATCATTTAAGCGTTCAGGATTCAATTATCTCGCATTATTCTCAACAGTGCGTGACCAAAACGCTTTGTGATGGTCGGCTTTTGCCGCGAAGCACTCAGCATCAAACTGGAAGAACACAGTGCCTTACATTAATGTAAATTTTTTCACGGTACACAAACTATCGGTGCGTTCCTTTGGGAGGATCTGGATTAGGTTTTGTGATCCAAGATCACACAGATCACGGTGCATCAAAGGAACGGAGCTACCACGACAGCAGGCGCGAAATTGTAGAGCGCGTCAGCGGAGTCGCGCACTAAATTTAAAAACGAAAACGAGATGGCCACCGCGGATAGAGCAGCTGTTGTTTCGTCAATAGAAGAACTTTCCGATGATTCAAAACTACAAGAAGCGAGAAGTTGTGAAGATGAAGAATTTCTATTGTTTCTTTTGATAAGGGAAAGGCAGAGCCATGTCCGCATTGAGCATTATTTCAAACGTATTAAGCCACTCTACATTGTTTCAGATTTTTTAAGTCATTTTCGGATGTCAAGAACTACAGTCAGTGTTTGGAATACCTGTCAGCTACTTGCCTAAGTCTGCCTCATGGACAAAGGAATGGAGGGAGACCTACCTTTGAATTACAGAACAAAGTATTGATTACGATATGGATACTTGGGAACCCTGAATGCCTGCGATCAGTGGCCGATCGATTTAACATTAAACATCGTGTTTACCGCAGAATTTGTGGAGCGATGGCCAACAATCTTTCCGGTCAATATATGAAGTAAGTACTTGTTTGAAATTGAGCATTGCTGGGCAAAATGATTAATTTCGGATCCTTCGCCCAAAGGAACGCGTTGGATCAATGATCCAATGATCCGTCTTTAGATCGCGCAGATCAGTGATCCGATGAATCCTTGTCCTGAGTGGATTTGATAGATCATTGATCTGAAAATAGATTTGCTCGAAAGGAACGCCACAGATCAGAAATCCTGATCCGGATTCTCCTAAAGGAACGCACCCTGTGTCAGATCACCTTTGTGACAGGCTTTTGATGATGTTTCGAAATGGCGCTTTTATTGAAACGCTGATTTAGTGGCTACATTCCTTTAAAGTAGATCTTCAAAGTTTTCCCAGATTAAAATTAAAAACAACTAAATACCCAACGGTGAACTAAATGAACACACTGCTAGCCAAGCGTGTTAAGCCGTCAGAGCAGAGTGCATTTTTCAATTAATTCAATTCAATTGAAAAAACTGCGTGACAAATACACAAAACAAAAATCATTGAAAGTAAACAGTCCAGTTTTTACGAACCGTGGGATATTTGTTTACACAAAGAAATATTTCAGCATGACAATCTGACCATTTACAGAATCGCTAGAAATTTGCACGCGTTTTGACTTGGTAAGCCAAACCGTCACAGCTAAGCGTAAACGCCACGACTCTAAAAAGAAATGTATCGATCTGTGGAAGTTTTCGTAAGTAGGCCTATTGTCATGACTAAATCTAGCCTGTACTTCAGTGAACCATTGCAATTTCGACATTTATAGCTGTTTTTGAAAGGTTTAGCTGGATGTTTTGGAAAAAAAATAAAATTCGTTTAGATAATTTCCCTAGTTCTGTCGCACCCTGTACAAAACCTGTTTGGAATACTCCCTCTTATACATTGCCTCATGTCTAAGTGTTTGTCTCAACTTAGCGTTTGTATTTTTTCGTTGAGATGGAATAGAAGGTAACCATTTTGAGTGATTATGTTGGAGAAGGAGAGTCAAGACTGAAATTTTGAAGTCGTAGAATTTCCTGATTTAAAGCACCGTGAATGAATTTTCTTTCGCCAAAGAAAACGTATCTTTCCATCACCTGGTTTTATTCTATTCCACAAGTTATAAAGGAGACAAAATTCAATTTGTAGTTAGACAGTTAAAAATTTTGAATCCATAGGCCATAGGTAGACAACCCTGTGGGTTTGAGGCCGCGTTACGTAAGCTATTTGATTCGCTAGTTGAACAATTACATTGTTTGTAATATGCAACGGTCGATCTCGGTAAGACGGAAGTGATCCCGAGAAATGTTTTATAAATACCGCAAATCGTGACATTTCATCCTCAAACCCGCTTAATGACAGTCAGATTAATGAAGTATACTTACATTCGTTTTTCTGTGTTGTCTCGTGTGATTTTGGGACGGTCAATTCTCCACTTTGCACCGACGCCCTTTCAAAAGTAAAGGAAAAACACAAGGCGTGCAACTTCCAGGACCGTCTGGGCCGAAAGCCTCCAGAACTTCGCCGAATTTCTTCCGCTACATGATGTGGACCGAAGTGGTAGATCATAAGCCTTCGATTTACCGTTTTACAATTCAAATTAATCATTAAGCGAGCTCAAATTTCATTTGGAAGAAGGACGGTACAAACCAGCCTTCCCCTAAGACTTCCGTTCCGTAACCGGAAAAAAACATAAGCCAATCAGAACAAAGCTGTCATGTGTCGACGGCGGAGCGATGAGCGAAGGTCGGAAATCGAGCAGGTGGTTAGAGGCGGGCAATTGCTCTGAGTTTTGGCTTGGCTATTACACGTTTATCAATTTTTAACGTGCCCGAAGCTGGGAGGTGAGCAACATTTGGAAGCGGAAGAAATTTGGCAAAGTTCTAGAGGATTTAGGCCCCTGAGACGGTCCTGGAAGTAGCACGCCTTAACCGTCCCAAAACCCCGCAAAATCACTCGAGACAACACAGAAAAACAAATGTAAGTGAGCTTTATTTATCTGAATGTCATTAAGCCGGGATTTTGGGCATGAAAAGTCAAGGTTTGCGGTATTTATGAAACATTTCTCGGGATCACTTCCGTCTTGCCGAGATCGACCGCTGCAAATTAAAATTCAACTAGCGTATAAAAAATTGACGTCAAGCGGCCTAAAACCTACGGGGTTGTTTGCCTGTGCATACACTCTTAAGTCGCAATCACTTTGCCATTTAACGGTTTTTAATGGCCTACCACACTAACGACAAAATTACGGATGGGTTGTCCCGACTTGACAATTTTTTGCCGAAGCGGGAAAATTTTCAAAAGCACCGCCGACAAAATTTGTCCCGCGTAAAAGCTTGGCGAAAACAACTAGACGACTTGCATGGAAAAACTAGCATCGCCACCGCTATAAAATTTTTTAAATCTAAACTGATAAGCAGCGCTGTGCGTACAGTATTTGTAAAACTTCTATATTCTCCGACGCATTTCGTCTAACTGTCGTAAACTTCTTCATGGAGTTGTACAAGTTAACTCGAAACGTGGCGAGGCGGAAAAAATTATTTGAAGGCCACGGTTTAGGTTTTCTTTTTTCGTCACGCACGTCACGCAACAAGTTACAAAACGTAAATATAATTCTTCTTGGTGCCTCTCCGGATGCCACCGATGCCTTTTCCGATGCAGTAAAAGATGTAAGGAGCAATCAACACTTCTGAAAAATTACTCAAAATTTTATTTAGCGAAGTTTACTGTTAACATTTCGGTTCCACAACACGATTTTTCTTTGCAACTTTAAATAATCTGTCTCTATATAAATTATTAAAATTGTTTCACCGCTGACCACTCCTATTTCTTCCCCCGCTCGTCGCCCCCCTTCCGCGTGTTCGCGTGTTACAGCAGGTCTAAAAACATTCAACAGAATATCGAAGGTACCACGATCCATTCGCATTTTCCTTCTGAAAAACTACCCCCGGAATTGTTCGGTTATTTTAGTGGATCTCGAACCAAGACCGGTTTGGTCTTAGAAGTTTCCAATAGTAATGGTTGAGTCGACGTGCCCGACGTCCCCATCTTCTACGGTGTTCAATCATTAACAGAGTTGCTTGGTATCTATGAAATTGATGCCTTAATACAAGGCTCATTATAAGCATCATTTCGTCTGCCATCTGAGCGAAATTTAAATGCAAGAAACACGTCACAAGTTGAAGCATTTGAACACGTTCCACTATATAATTATCCCGCCAAAACGTTTGATGTTTTGGCGCGCATAGCTAAATTGAATAAATTACATTGAAATATAATAACGGTGTTATTTTTGGCTGTTAACCGAATTTGACAGCTTTTTGACAGCTTTTTGACAGCTTCGAAATTTTTAGTGCGGATGCAACAGAGGAGACAATAATTTGTCATGACAAAATTTGTCCTTTGATTTCATCGGTACAACTCTAGTTTTGTCTGCTAGTGCGGATAGGCACTAAGACGTCTATTATGTCATGTGTGACTTCCACTGACACTAATTCGGTTCCAAGCTAAACATAATTAGGGAAAGTCACGGAAAATTTTCGTTGACTATTGCGCGCGTAAAATTATGTTCAAATTTGTAAAACAATGCAATAAACGAAGGTTGGCCAAGTTGGACTAGGTTCAATAAAAAAAAGTTAAAAGGCCGAACACCAAACAAATGCTTACAAAAGGTCGACATTTAATGATCACTCAATGAGGTTCCCACAGTTTTTTTTTTTGTTGGTGAGCAAATTAACGTGAGTTAAATGGTATTGACATTCTTCATTTAACGTATAACGCTGCCGCACGAAAGGTTCGATTGTTACGTTGCAGCTACATGAGTGATCTTCGGGGGCAAGTAAAAACACATTATCTTACAATGTTTTGATGCCATTATTCTGGCGCAGCAGGGAAAGTCACGTGAACCGGTTGCATGTTTCTCCGTTTGGGCACTAAGTGGTTTCCATGAAATCTCTGATAGAAATATTCGAAAATTAACGAAGGTCAATCTATCCATTCACTCGCTTTTCCATTCACCCGCTTTTCCATTCACAAGTTGACGCAAGGAGTCCTGTAATTGTGCGAAAGTCAAGGAAAACTCCAAAAAGGATTGAATAGTTGTTGTGCTTTTTTTTTTCTTTCACTTTTCTTGCTCTAAACTTTTATTTTTCCTTGCATTCATAGTCAAAAGGAAGGGGAAAAACACACCGGGTTAAAAAAAATCTTGAACTCAGGAAAAAATTTGAACTCTAAAGTGTAAATTCAACCATTAATTAAAGAAACGCTGATTTTAATGCAACTTAAAGAGTAGCTTGTAATATCTGCGTTTGCACGAATGCACTCTAAGAGACAATTTGAGTTATACATTAAAATACAGTGTAAACAATTGCCACAGTAATCAAACGATCTCTCAAACCCCCAATCGAAGTTGAGTGTTATTAACAGAACCCCAATATAATAGGTCCGTGACATGGGACGCATCTTAAATATCTCGGTCGCGAAGCATTTTTTTAGTTTAAACTTCCAATGTATTTTCTATTGAGATATCAATGGATTTCTTTCAATCAACCGATTTATAGCAGTAAGCGAGTCAATCAAACCTCCGCATGATGACATCACTATTGTGTATCATGGTATTTTCTGTGACCTTACAAGTCAGCAATGGTGGTTGTATGGATCCTAAGACTCCTCAACCTGATGAGTGCCGTCCGACCGACAAGCCAAATGAGCGGTTTGTTGATCCTCACAATGAGTTCCGAAGTCAGGTAAAGCCAAGTGCAGCGGACATGGAGAACGTGGTGAGTTGAACAGTCTTACTTAAGGAAATTTAAAGGTTTCCTTTGAAGCCACCTGTTGTCTTTTTAGTGTTATCAACAGAGTAGATAACGTAAATTGGCCACCGTTTAGGCTCTGTAACATTCTTAAGATTACCCCCTGCCTCATTGGCTGTTAACTGGCAGTCAATTTACCATACCCACCTTTATACTCTGTTAGCGACGACAATCCCCCCTCCCCTCTCCCTAAAAACCATCTGATCCCCCTCCCTCCGACCGTGTTAAATCATGACTGGTACATAAAGAGTATAAACAGTCCATGATCTTTCATAAACCCTGAATCAAGTTTCCCAATTCAGTCGAACTGGAAAATCACAGTAACTGGCTGTTGTGCCGATTACTTTGATTTGAATCAGTTTAAGATACTTTACAAAGATGCACTCTAACCCTACAAGTGAAACAAAAAAACTGAAAAAAATTACTCACTGTGTGGCTTGTCTGACAGGTGTATGATGAACTGTACCCTATCTCACAAGTCGAGGACCTCCTCCAGAATCAGCCGGAATGGACCTTGGCCGACTTCAGTGAGCCTCTGAAAGGAACACCATCAGATGAGCCGTAAGCTTACAACAACTAATATAACCAATAGAGAGACGCCACAAGTGTTTCTATGGAAAAAGAGGGACTGGGGGCTAATGTAAACGATTTACCGCTGGCACATCTCACCTGCTTGCTGTAGAATAGAGCAATATCAATCAAACAGATGTTTTTGGCTCAAAATATTAGAAAGCGGAACTACAATAACAATTTGAAGGTGTGGTCCGGATTTTTTCGGCAGGAGACTGCAATAACTTTCATCAATTTAAAATGAGTTTGCGCAAATGCCGATACAATTTATCATGTTTAGATGAAAAAAAGGGCTTAATTGTGTCAATAACAAAATGCTTGAATATGAGCAACACTAATAATCGGACAGGCCAAATCAGACAGTTCAGCAACCAATTAAAATCAAGTCCTTTACGCCATCAACCGATAAAACTCAACTACCTACCCAATCAAAATGAAAACTAATGACTTCGGGTTGAGAGGTCCGGCACATTTGAAACATAGTGACGTGGACAAAACTAAAAGTTCCAATTACTTTTACTCGGTATCAGCAAGAATGGTATGTGTTGTTACATTAAATTTTTCATTCCCGAGTTTCTTGTGTTTTGTTTTTGACACAATTTATTGGCAATCGGACCTCGAGTCGTACAACTCAAGGGTAATCCTATTCTTAATTTCAAATTACCCTTGCACTTCGTACTCGGCCAATTTGAAATCACACGCCTAATGACTCCCTGAATTGTACTCCACTAAGTCCTATCACCATTACAACCCACGATAAAAATACTTCGCTGAAAATCCAATTAACTGATGAGCTTCAAAACTTTCACACAACACAAGAGAGTTTGAATATGAATCTTGGGTCTTATTTCACAAAAACAGATTTCTAGCTTCAAACTTGCTTCAGAATGACCCCGATCAAGATGATCTTAAGTGGATGGAGACTGACATTGTGACCAAGTACAAATTTAAAAAAAATGCCGAGGAAGATACGTGGCTATTTCAACCCAACTTCGCAGGACAAATCGGCACAACAGACTTTGCCAAAGATGCGGATAGGATAAAGAAGTTCTTTAAACGAAACAACGATTGGGCAGCTATGAAAAAAAAATTCCGCACTCCTACTAGCTGTCTTCAACTCCTGTACATCACTGCCGCTAGGTATCTCTTTGTGACACAAGTTCTTTACGTTCTAAGTGGTAATAAGCTAAAACCCTGCGTGAGAACAGCGGCAAAGAAAATCGAAATCCCTGACTCTGTGTGCTTTCCTGAGCCTTACGGATCAGCTTCTTGCACTTCGGACTACGACGTCGGGCTTGTTGGAAAAGACGCTGGTACGCTTACAGAGAAATTCAACAACTTTTTCCAAGACAAAAATGAATTTGGGAAACCCTCGGAGATCGTTTTTGATACAAATGTCTACGCTTTCACCCTGGAGTACGCCATGCCACTTCTGTTTGTTAAACTACCGCCTACATTTGCCAAAGATGTAGAGAACAACGAAAAAACATTAAACAGCAAAATGCAAGAATTAGCCAGCGCTTATTACAAGGTCTACAAGTACAACATAAAGTTCTTCGAAACGATGGTAAATGGAGCGAAGTTATCAATGAAGGGAGCACCCAAATCAAAAGTCTTCTTAGAAAAGTGGCTGGAAACCTTTAAGAGCTTGGATGCTAAAATTCCGATGAGACCTGGGGAAAAACTGAAAACAGAGGAGGACCTGAGACTGGCCCATAACAACCAGTACCAAGCCCTGGTGAAAGAGATGTCTTCAAAAGGAGGATACAAACCGGCATTGTTAGGTAATCATAACTGAGTTAGCAGCACTCCAAGCTGGCTGTAAGCGTTTTGGTCGCCATGGCTAGCGGGTAAAATTTTGACCAATTTTTCAATTACATCGAAAGTCGTCAAATTGACGACCTGTGTTTGGCGGTCAAGTAGCGAACTGAAACGTTTTCAATCTGATTTTATGATCCGTAGTTGAGGTGAGACAGCCATTTGTATAAAATAATAAAAGCGCTCCTTCGTTGCCTCCTCGGTTTTGCAAGTGTCCAGCTTGAGATGTCGCGTAAAAACGATTGCTAGTCGTGTTATGACCACATTTCTTCGGAAAGTCATCTCTACTTCCGTACTGATCACATCAAAGTTTTCCACCCCCTACCGAAAAAAAACCACACTCGATTTTTATTCAGAGATAGCAATTCCTGGTTTAATGTTTCGGTAATTTTCTTCAAACAGATGTTCTTGCAAAGGCCCTGATCTACGCAGCTGAAGCTTATCACACGCGAGGCGCCATACGACATGTAGTGGGTGGTACACAAATGAACGTGATTGACATATCGACATCACTTTCGCTTATGGACCTGTGGGTATCCATGATCGAAAACTGGGGAGAGTCAAACAAGGAGTTTAGCCATTGCCAGATGGAACCTCTGGAGGTATGCTTCCTTAAGATGAGTAAGTACATGTGGAGAATGTTTAACGCAATGAACTTAATCCGTAATGAAATAAAACCCGAAAACAGGCTTGGTTTGGTGCACTTTGGAGAGGGCACGGGCGATCCTGAGTATGCAATGAGAATGTGGCTCGACTATAAAAGGCAAGGAAAGACCGCCATTCCAAGGCAACAGGACAAAGTTCTACAGTTTTTGAGACAATTCAAATGCGATAATGCCCAAATCGGTCAGCCGATATCGTCGACTTGCATCGCGAAGATGAATGAAAAAGTCAACGCCTACAACGAGAGATTGGCTGCGCAGTGGACCGACGAACCTGTGCCACCGCCCTGGCACTACTGAGAGCTTAAATCGTGATATTTACTGCTTTTCAATGAGGCAAGATGCAGTCCAAAAAAGTAAATTTAAGTGACTATGTATGTCTTTCTTCTCTTACGATAACAATATCGTCTTTAATGTAACTATTAATTTAAATTATGCGGCCAACCCAACTCGAAAGCTCATTGGCTAATTTGGTCACTGTACACGATTAAATGTACTTTCTTCTAGTTAATTTCTGTTCGTATTTTTTCTATATCATTGTAAATCATGTTATGTTTAGTTGTTTTTACTGGATTACAATGTGAAATACTAAAGTGTGAAGTGTGACCATATCAACCAATAGTGACAATGGTACATATCACTAAGGGCCAGTGGATGTATGGCCAGCTCCATCAGTGCTTCAAGTTTAGCACCTGATTTATTGAACAAAACACATAAAAGCTTTAACAAGGCAATTTCAGCTCATCTACATAATCACCTGACCCTCAACCCTTCAACCCCAGATCAGATTTGTAATTCTCCTTACTGTCAACCATACAATTCTTATAATGTTAATTCAGAGAATTTAGTATTGTATCAACTTATTATCACCAATTGATATTTTTATTTATTGTCACCAATTATCTGGTTAATGCTACATTGATATTGTAAAGAGAAAGCAGTTTGTCTTGGTCACTCATGGGAGTTAACTCTCATGAGTGACCAAGACAAAACTTCTCCTTACAATATCAATACAATATCAAGCGAAAAAGAGCCAAGAATAAAGAAAAATATCAATTAGGAGTGATCCAATACCAAATTCTCCAGACTAACATTATAGGAATTATATGGCAGATGGTAAAGAGAATTACTAATGAGATCATCAGAGTGAAAGAGTTAAAACTTATTTCACTTCTTGATGTTACCTACTTCTCATTTAATTTTGTTGCATTAAAATGACTTCCTTTTTCCGTTTGAAATCGCGCGCATCACAGTGCACACTATGTATGCATTGCAATTAACAAAAGGACATAATTTACCCATCAGGTGTGTACAACGCTCACTTACTTATTCACCAAAAACACGAAAAATTATCAAATGAATATGATGTCAATACGATATCAAGCAGCAAGTGATGCCAGTAAAGCTTTAAGCTTCTTATTACGGTTGCAAATACACCTGTATGTAATACTGGGATAGGAAACAAATGATTGGTAACTGACCGACAGAGTGAGGATTAACGCTTTTTTAAGGAAGTGAGAAATTTAAAGAATCTAGAATAATACCAAAAATAAATTGAAGTTGATATGCTTGTCAATGTGGAGAACCTCTCGAAAACTACTGAACAAATAGGAATGGATGCTGCTGGGATGCTAGAACACCCCGTCAAAATCCCTATGGCATAAAAGGCTGCCCTGGTAAGTAAAACAGCGAAGTTACAACACTCAATCTCAACTAGATTTTCATCGCTCTAACCATGCTGGTATCTAGTTATCAAAGTACAATCAATCGAGATGTGCTCTATCCGGTAGATATAGCGTTATATGCAAAAATTACTGCCTAGAGGTTAGGAATGCTTAAATAGCTTACTACTGTAATAAAAAATATTTGAAAGAAATATTTGAGCAATAGAATGTTTTGCTTCATTAACAGTCTATCAACGTAAAAAGTGCGATAAAATTTTTAATTTACGAGCCGAACATCCTGAATCGGACGAGCACCAGGAGGGCACCGACGATTGCCCTGGAAGTGTCTGTCTAACTGTGGCGGGTTTACTAAGTGGAATAAGCAGATCGCGGAATATTCGAGGGAAAGAAGCCAAGTCTCTTGGTCGATTTTCACAAGATGGTACGCTGCTGTTGAAATATACCACCTCAACAGCGATGAGGTTGACTGGCTGACATTGCCAAGTTTATCATTTAGGCGTTCAGTATTCAACTCCTTGATGGCATCAAATTCTTGAGATCATTCTCTGTCAAGTTTGTGTTCTGTACATGACCTTCAGATTATGTCTTTATCAAGAAGGAAGGCCCTGAAATTTATCAAAACTCAAAGAACGGAGCGAAAATTGTCTACACAGTGAATTGTAATAACCTCACGCTATTCTCGACAGTACGTAACCAAAACACAAGACATGGCGAAATGAAATTATCTCATATTATTCTTAACAGTACGTGACCAAAACGCCTTGTGATGGTCGGCTTTTGCAGCGAAGCGCTCTGCCTCTATTTTATCAATAGAGGGAACAAAAGCGATTGGACACCTTTAAGCATCAAACTGGAAGAACACAGTGTATATGCCCTCAGCGTGACCCAATCCCTTAAATTTTTTCACGGTACAAAAACTATGACAGATCATCTTTGTGACAGGGTTTTGATAATGTTTCGAAATTTTGTTTATTTTGCTGGCGCTTTTATTGAAACGCTGATTTTGTGGCTCTATTCCTTTAAAGTAGATCTTCAAAGTTTTCCCAGTTGCAAATTTTAAACCACTGAAATATGCAACGGTCAACTAAATGAACACACTGTTAGCCAAGCGTGTTAATCCGTCAGAGCAGAGTGCATTTTTCAATTAATTAAATTCAAAACTCACGAACACAACTGAATTTCTAAAGCACATCACATTCGGTAAACCTATAGCAAATATGACCTACATTTTATCAAGAGTGATGCTTTTTTTCCGGTGAAATATTATTACTTCAATACAAGGTACGAGTGTTAAAATTGGATGTAATTTCCTGAGTCTGAAAAAAAATGCGTGACAAAGACACAAAAGAAAAAAAAAACGTTAATAGTAAACAGTCAAGTTTTTACTAACCGTGGGATAGTTGTTTACACAAAGAAATATTTCAGCATAACAATCCGACCATTTACTGAATCGCTATAAATTTGCGCGCGTTTTGACTTGGTAAGCCAAACCGTCACAGCTAGGCGTACACGCAGCGACTCTGAAGAGTAAAATAACTATCTCAGGAAATTTTGGTAAGTGGGCCTATTGTCATGACTAAATCTAGCCTCCACTTCAGTGAACCGTTGCAATTTCGATATTTAGCTGTTTTGGAGACATTTTTCATACGTTTAGCTACATGTTTTGGAAAAAATATATAATATCGAAAATTATTCAGATAATTTCTCTAGTTCTGTCGCACCCTGTACAAATCTTTTTGGAATACTCCTTCTTATGCATGCCTCGTGTCTAAGTGTTTGTTTGAACTTAGCGTTTGCATTTTTTTGTTGGGATGGTATAGAGGGTGACCATATTGAGTGAACATGTTGGAGTGTGAGATTCAAGATTGGACATTTTGAAGTCTTAGATTTACCTGATTTAAAGCACCGTGAATTCATTAGCGAAGGTTCTGTCACTTTCGCCATAGGAAATTTATCTCTCCATCGCTAGGTTTTATTCTATTCCTCATATGACAAAGACAAAATTCAAATTTGTAGTTGGGCAGTGAAAAATTTTGAATCCATAGACTCTTAGGTCGCATCCACTCGGTCATTTAACGGTCTCAAATCTTAATTGATATATTGGACCCTAAGGCGTCTGTTGTGTGACTTCAATTGAAGCTAATTCGGGTTCAAACTAAATAAAGGAATATCACGGAAAATTTACGTTGACCATTGCGCGCGTAAAATTATGTTCAAATTTCAAAAAGGCAATAAACGAAGGTTGACCAAGTTGGACTAGGTTAAATAAAAAATGTTGAAATGGCCGAACACCAGACAAATCCTTACAAAAGGTCGAGATTAAATGATCACTCAATAAAGTTCCCACAGTTTGAATTTTTTTTTGTGAGCAAATTAACACGAGTGGTATTCAATAGCATTGACATTCTTCATTTAACGTAAAACGCTCCCGCACGAAAGGTTTGATTGTTGCAGCTACATGAGTGGTCTTAAGTGGCAAAAAAACACATTATCTTACAATGTCTTGATGCCATGATTCTAGCGCAGCAAGGAAAAACGTGTGAACCGGTTGAATATTTCTCTGTTCGGGCACTAAGTCCGGTTTCCATAAAATGTCTGATCGAAATATTCGAAAATTAGCGAAGGTCAATCTATCCATTCACCCTATTTTCCATTCAAAAGTTGACTCAAGGAGTCCTGTGATTGTGCAAAAGTCAAAGAAAACTCCAAAAGTGAGTGAACAGTTGTTGTGCTTTAATTTCTTTAACTCGTTCTTATAATTCTTGCTCTAAACTCTTTTTCGCCTTGCGTTCAGAGTCTAGAGAAAGGGTAAAAAGAAAAAACTCTGGGTTGAAAATCTTGAACCCATGAAAAATTCGAACCCGAGAACGTAAATTTAACCATTAATTGAAGAAACATCGAGTCTAATGGAACTCAAGTTGTAGCTTGTAAAATCTGCGTTTGCACGAATGCACTCGAGGAGGCAGTTTGAGTTATACATTAAAATACAGTGTAAACAATTGCCACAGTAATCAAACGATTTTTCAAACCCCCAATTAAAGTTAAGCGTGAATAACAGAACCCTGATATAATCGGTCCGTTGCATGGGACGCATCTTAATTATCTCGGTCTCTCAGCACTTTTTAAGTTTTAATTTCCAATGTATATTCCGATGAGAAATCAATGGATATAATAATCGGTCCGTTGCGTGGGACGTATCTTAATTATCTCGGTCTCTCAGCGCTGTTTAAGTTTTAAGTTCCAATGTATATTCCAATGAGAAATCAATGGATTTCTTTCAATCAACCGATTTACAGCAGTGCGCGAGTCAATCGAACCCCCACATGATGACATCACTATTGTGTATCATCGTATTTTCTGTGACCTTACAAGTCAGCAATGGTGCTCGTATGGGACCTAAGACTCCTCAACCTGGTGATTTCAGACAGTGCCGTCTGAGCAACAAGCTAAAGGAGCAGTTTGTTGATCTTCACAATGAGTTTCGGAGTCAGGTAAAGCCAAGTGCAGCGGACATGGAGTACGTGGTGAGTTAAACAGTCTTCCTTGAGGAAGTTTTCTTTGAAGCCACCTGTTGCCTTGTAATATTACATTTTCTGATTGGCCGTTGTCAAATCCCTTCGTCAAAGCGAGGGACTTAAGGCTAACACTCGAAACGTCAGCTTTGAAACTCTTTACGGTGGCCAATTTACGTGATCAACTCAGTTGATAATACTAAATTACCCTGCTAACTCTCCCACCGATGCAGCACCAGTTTCTTTAGAAACTTACCCCCTTTATTCGTTGCAATTAAGTTTTTGGCTATTTAAACGTTAGAACGAAAGGCGCTAGATATGCTATGAAACAATTTCACTGAATTCTTCATCTTGTATCAATTCAGGTGTGGAATGATGACCTTGGTAACCTGGCTCAAATGTGGTCGGATAAATGCGAGTGGATGCATGGCTTTACTAGGTTTGGGGCGTGGCACTCAAACCAAAATTTTCGAAGCAAGTCTGTAGGTAATTGAGGAAAAAATAAACGATCACTACCGGAAAACTACATATTAAGTTGCAATTTGGGTTAATTTTTCTGATAAGCCTACCATTTACAAGCACGCTGGTCGTCCAAGATCATCGCAGATAATTTCATTAAGGCAATTTTAGTACTGTCCAAAAGATTGTAAGAAAAACTAAACGTTCGTTACTGACATGTAAAATTTTAGAACTTGAGAGGCTCATAGAAGAGATAATGATGAAGAGGCATGTAGGGAGACTGAGAGTGTTTCTGCCCCACTTTTAACATAAGAGGAATTTTATCGTACTTGTTAGTTTTTTAACCTTAGTGTGTCCCTGCTCAGTTAGAAGCACATCAAAAGCAACTAGAAAAGATGGCAACTGGCAAAAATTTACCTTAAAAACAAACAATCAAACAGAAAAGAAACGTGATTCATTCTGTCGAAGAAAAGGTTTTCTTTTTCTCTTTCTCTACAATGACAATCACCAGGTCAAAACTTGGCCCGTGAGTGGGGCAAGTGGATTGAAAGTAAAGATGCTGGCCCAGAAGATTCTGTACGCCGATGGTTTATTGAAAAAAACTATTACAGTTTTTCAAAGTTTGCTTATCCGATGCCTTCATGGATGTGCCGCAAAGAACCATGTGGACACTATACACAGGTTAGTTTACAGATCACGATCATAATGCTGGTATCAAACCAACTCATAAGTAGCTTTGTAAAGACATTCGCTTGTAAATATGCACCCTTCGAGACTCACTTTCTCTCAGTTGTTACACATATGTGGACGCATGAGATTACATCTGCAAAAACAGTCGATGAAAGATGCTGTAAGACTACAGGATAAAACAAGGTTTTCGACAACTTTTTTGACAAGCACGCTGATCATATTGCAAAGATATTCAGAGGTTAAATTGGGAGCTAAGATATGATTTGCGCATCTCGCATAATTTCTCTGTTATACATTCATTCTTTTCAATATTCTGTAAGCTTAACCACCATTTCTTTTTGTTTCAGAATAAACTCTTCACGCGTTCAAAAATTATGGGATACTCTCATATCGCATTGCAAAATATTACATAGCATCGAAAGTAGCGTCGAAGTATCGTGACATTGCCCCATTCAATTAAAGCTGCGCGAAAAGCTACGCCTTGGATAACATAAAACAGCCCCCGTTTTCGACTTCAGAACTTTGAGCATTACCCTGTAAGAACGTCATTTTCGTCTCGCTTTCCTTACTTAAGGTTGTGTGGGCCAAGAGCAAACAGGTTGGATGTGCCTTTAACTGGTGTGACAAGGACTTTGGTCAGCCTCACCCCTGGGTCCCTGGAGAGACAGTTGTAACTTGTGACTACTATCCAAGGTAGGTGCTGGATAAAGAGATTACTGCATGGAAAGTCCGCACAAACGATTTCTATACACGAGTTACGATGCATGAAAAAACCGAACGACTAAGCACAGCGAACGAGTGAGTTTTTTGATGCATCGCACGAGTAAATACAATTGTTCAAGCATTTTCCATGGAATGTTTTTATTTCATATATATCGAGATTTACACTGTGAAGTATGAAGCGAACGACTGTGAAAATACATCGTTTGTCCAATCAGAGAAACGACAGATTGTACTACACAGTGTAACTCTGAATATGTCTGAAATAAATTCTCTTTAGAGACGACACAGTCTGCGTCAATTACAAACAGATAATAAGTAAACTGTCACCGAAGAGTATTTCATTTGGTTTATTTTCTGGAAGAACGGGTCGATAGTTTTGAATAAATCCTGAAAACGTTTAATTCTTAGAAAGTAATGCACGTGTTTACAAGCTCTAATAAAATGTTTGGATGGAGTCGCCGGGTCCCGAGTTTGTCTCCTTAGAGAAAACTAACTTACAATTATTATCTAACATATTTTTTTTTATCATTTTTGCAGTGGTAACGTGGTAGGACAGCAACCCTACACGCCTGGAACTCCATGCACAAAGTGCGCTAGCGGCCAGGGTTGGTGCTACAAGAATCTTTGCAGTGAGTATAAAAAGAAGGTCAATAGGGAAAAATGGCCTCAAGCTACAAATAGCTCTAACTGTCATGCTTAAACTTTTCACAGGAGAGTGTAAGAATTTTAGCCCGAAATGTGGAACTACCTACACAAAAGGCACGTGCCTGACAAACAGAGAACTCATGGAAAAATACTGCCCTAAGATGTGCAACCTTTGCAGTGAGTATAGTTTTAAGTAAAACATAGGATGTCTCCATTCAGGGCCAGTTCTATTTTGTCACAAGAACATTTCCTCCTCTATCAATAAAGCCTGTTTTACTGATAATAAAGAAAGAGGTGGACAGGAATCGAAAAGGAGGCGTGGAGCGCAAAATCTATGGAAGGGTCAGTGACAAAGGTCTAGATGAGGTTGTTTCGCGAATCTTTCTTAAAAGTAACTTCTTTTAACTTTTTGGTTGTTTAAATCCCAACCAGTTGTCTTTAGTCAGCTTTATAAAGGTTGTTCGGAATATTACGTTCTGTTATCGAGCTGTTTCCTTGTTTACTGAGGAGGTTCATTTTTTTCCAAGCTTCTCACTCCCAAGAACTAATTTCTAACCTTCTGCTAATCTGCTGTGCAAAGCATTAAGACATCAAAAGTGATTTTTGTGCTTATCATATTTCTCGACCGGTCTCTGTTGAAATTTTGCAGGATGTCCCTTAAAGTGCAAAAACGGAGGACAAGTTGACCGTAACACTTGCACTTGTACCTGTTATGGCAAATGGAAAGGTTCCGATTGTTCTGGTAATAAATAGTACAAGTTTATTACGTTATTTATTTAAAGTTTTAAGGAAAAAAAAAACCCAAGCTTGAAAAACAAACTCTCATAGCCTTTAAAAAGTCACTTGACTTTATTCACAGCGCGACTTTTCATGCAATTTTAAGTGTGTTGAGAATAACTCGGGTCTATTGATCGTTGATGGTACGACGAAAACGGCAGAAAATGGCGATTTGAATTAATTCATCGAAAAAGGTTACTCAATATATATATGCAAACTGGATTATCGCTTATAGACATAGAAAATTTCTGGGGTGATTCCCTACCGCAAAAGGCGCGATCAACTCATGAAACTCGACGATTTGGGATCCAGGCTCACTAACCTACCTAAATTAAGGTTATTAATTTTTCTTTCACGCACATAGCGTGCCATACATAGTTCAAACTTCATTTCTTCCATATTTAGTAGTTCTTTTGTTTTGGAAAATAAAAGTTTTTCAAAGCCTCAAGTGGACTATGGTCGGTAAAGGGCCAGAGATAAAAGGCTGAAAAAGCTTTCAAAGTGTATGAAGGACTAACCACTCGCATGTATTTTCTTCAGAGAAGATCTGTGATGAGGGGTGGTACGGAGAGAAGTGTGAAAGTAAGTCAGATCAGTCCAATTCTAGCTACACAACGATTTAAAGGGAACTTCACTTTTTAACTTAGTGTATGCCGCTGAAACAATTATTCTCGACTAATGTCGACTGAGACCTCGTAAAATGTCAATACAATCGACTGAGGATCTGAAACTCGAGGAAATATTTGGTTAGAATGGTAATAACGTTCACTAAGCTCTGCTAAGACTTGGTGGTAACTTGATCGTGACTCGTATGAACCAATTCAAGTGCAAGAGGTATTTTCTAGGGAATGAGTACAAAGGAAGTTCCAGATGGTATTCAAATAAAACGTTGCTCGCTTTATCGAATAGTTCTTGCAATTACCACCACTGTAAGTAACGAAGTCTAAGCGTGCAAAAGATTAAGCGACTTTAGCATACTTAAGCTTGTAAACCAAATAATCAGTTAACAAATCAACAATACAGTGAGAAAGTAGTTCTTCAAAATGTTGAATTATGTAAAACGTCTTAACATTTTTAAAAACTGAGATACCTTTTCTCCAAACAGAACGGTGCTTCGACAAAGTGGGAACATCTACATGCAAGTGGCGAGTCCAAAACGGCCATCCATGTTCAGTAACATACATGAAGCTCGACTGCGTCAAGACCTGTGTTTGTGGTACAGTAACCCCTTTGAATCGTCTACGCGTTACCTAGTCTCCATCTTTTCTTTTAGTATTCTTGCTGTATTCATTTATACCTGAAGGGCACAGGAACTTTTAGTTGTGCTATGTAAATCTATTCTTTTGGTCTCAAACTACTATTACAAATTTTTTAGAACTAATTTATAATCGTTTTTCATAAAGCATTATCTTTGTTATAGCTTTAAGTCAGTTATTTAATCTAGACGTATTTTTCTTCTCTTCCATTTTCAGATCTCATGCCAAAACCCAAGCCCAATCCACCACCAAAACCACCGACAAAAGCCCCAGTGACTGTCAGACCTACAAAACCCATCTCGGGATCTGGGACAGGTGTGGATTGAAAATCGATTGAATAAAAAAACAAACTTATTTTCATAAGGGCTATGAAATCAAGAGGCCCTCAAACTGAGTATCTGAACTATATTCTTATCATGTTCATTAAGCGCATTACTCGGTTTATCCCACAGATTGTAAAGACAAATACACAGCCCCTAACCAATGCGATTTTTGGGCGACACTTGGAGAATGTCAGAAGAACAAAAACTGGATGAGACAGAACTGCATGAAGAGCTGTGGAGTTTGCAGTAAGAGTCAAATATATACTTTCACTAAACTCATATCTTAAATTTCACCCTTACTTCACTACCATTACCTAAATTCATCACATATCTCTTTTACAAATCATATACTATTCCTTTCTGTAAAATATATCAAGACTAATTTTTTAAGGGCAAAATAAGGAACAGTCATGTATAAAGTAGAAAAGAACATCCCATGACAGGATCTTTTACAGAGGACTCTCGAACAGCATACTTATCTTAGCTAGTTTCAGAAAAAAAAATTAGAGTCTAAAAGAAAAAGATCGTTATTACAATAACAAGAATCACGCAAACTAAGTGGCGAACTATGAGGAAAGGACGTTATATATTATATGTTCACTGATTATATAGACTTGATTAATATTCATAGATTGCCAGGATGTGTACAACACCGTGATGTGTAAACAGTGGGCTGATAAAGGAGAGTGCAAGAAAAACCCCAATTGGATGGAGCCGAATTGTGCTAGGAGCTGCCTTGTTTGTGGTTGGTGAAATAAAAATGTAGACTTTGTGGTTCTTCACTAATTACTTCCACCGGCTAACTCAATCAATAATCTGACCACCTGTCGAACTGAAGTTGATCAAGGCATATCTACAGGCTTAGAAAAGTTTCAAAAAGTAGCTTTGTTTCGATAGTTCTGCGGTGTGCTTTGATCCACAGTCCGCGTATAAACCACATCTAGTCAAGCAAATATTGAATTTCTCTGGATAGAGACTCTGGTTGGCTTTGAAGTATATCAACGGCTCTTGAGTATCATCGATGAGAGGTCAAAACAGTGTAAAAGACAATTGACAACAGAGTTACTGATTAGGATTTTTTCTAGTCACCTCTTACAGTTTTGGGCTGGTACGTAATCATCTAAAATCGCCAGAGAGCCGTAAATTGATGACTCAGTAAAATTATTAACAACATTGCTGCTGTTTCTGTCCACTGAAGGTCTCTCAACCCCCCCCCTCCTCTCCCTTACAATTGAATCAAATTTCCCTGGCTATGAATATACACTGTATACATTGTACTTCTTGGTGGAGAGAAGTACGGCGAGAGTTGAGTGTCCTGCGCACGTCTGAGGCACTGCGCATTCCACGGAATAGTGGCACGATAAGATAAATATCAGGCGCTCTACTAATATATGAAAATAAACATTTGCATTTCCGGTTTATCAACAGACTGTTTTGACAAACACTCGAAATGCAAGCAGTGGGCTGGACTTGGAGAATGTGGAAAGAAATACGCAACATGGATGGAGGAAACTTGTAAAAAGAGTTGTAATAAATGCAATGTTAAGGGTTGAATAGATCCGATCTGTTCATCTTTGAAACAATTTTAGTTTAGTGCAAGATCCTCTTTTGTCTAGATATGCAGTGGAGACCATTCGACAGGCTTTGTTCAGCGCGCGTTCCACCATACAGGAATTGGGTGTCTGAGGCGTTGATTACACCATTTAACCTTGACATTTTAAAGATTGCATAACAACAGTTTTCAATTAAATATCGACACATCAAAACCAAAGTAATCAGAACAGCCGATCAGAAAAAAACGTTTACATCGTCACAACGAAAATAAACACAATTGCACAATCTGGCCCATTTTGAAAATGCTTGTAACCATAACGTTCTGTCCTTTTCGTCTCTTCTCGATAAATAATACTTCCGGAAGTGATTAACATGTAACTTCTCCCTATAATATCCATTATTATCTACAAAATCAGTTAATAAGAATACTCAAACTTATCAGTTAGAAGTTTTAATCTTGATCACACCTAATTCTCATAACCAAATTAGAAGAAAATGTGTAGCAGCTTGAGCGGAGAATTGACAGTCAGATCTTGGGAGTCAAAGGTTTAAGCGAACATAAGAAGAGGGTGATCTCGATCGAGTCAGGAGGAATTTCATCACACAGCATGTATATGAGTTTGAGAAACAAAATGCTCCAACAGAGCTTCGTCAATGGGTGGGGATTTCATGAGACCATAACCTCTGCGATACCGGTGCAGCGCTCTACCAACTGAGCTAACGAGCCAACTGGGAGCTGGCCATTATGTTGGATCCAAATAAACCTTCGAAGTGGTGAATAATAGCTGTAAACATATGAAAATCATATGTGTGTACTGCGGTTGAAGAAACGTATTTAGAATCAATCCCACCAGCTAAGAACACTACTGAACTAGTCGTTAAAACAAGGCCTGAAAAAAGAATCACATTTTTCGTGACCAAGATGACAAATAGCACCCCATACATGATCCGCTTTCCCTCAGATATCCTCTTTTCAAAATGCAAAACTCTTTCCATGTAAATCTGCTCTCCACGTGGGCGTACAAAGTAAATTAGAAATGCATAACACACCTGGTTACTCTTATGACATCACCAATTTGAAGAGGGTCCGTTTAAGCGTGAAACACAGAAGGGGCTGTCCTTACTTAAAGCCTCGCAGGGTTGTCCAAACATTAAAAGTCAGGTGCTGAGCTACTGGCACGCAAAATATCCGTGTACGGTCAATTTGCGTTTCTCTCTCTGCTAAAACCAGAACGAAAAAAATTAACAGAAGGTAAGTCCATATCTGTCTGTGATAGTAAAGACAAAAATTTCACTCGATCTTCTCTGACTTCGAACTAAATAAAACAAGCGAAAAGAATGCAGTAATTGATAGAAGTAGGTTCCTTGTGGTGGTACGTGATAACAATTTTTTTTTTTCGGAAGAGCGCGAGGCTGAGCGAAAATAAAGAAACGTAACGTATAAGACAGTTTCAAACTTAGTTCGAAAACGAAGATTGAAATGTTGGGATTCCGATTTGGATTTCTTTTAACACGTTTGAATTTCTTAGATATTTATCCATCACTTGAAGTCTACAATTGAGGTTGTGGTTCACTTCGCTGAGATGATCGGAAATCGTCGTTTCATGAGACCGAAGAAAGTTACGCAGGAGTTATGCTATTAAAGAAATTTCAGAAAAGAAGGCCTAAAAAAAAAATTCAATCTTTGACGTGATTCGAACCCTCCCTGAAATCAGTTGGGCGCCACTGCGCGCTCAGTTCATGATAGTTGGGCCTAAGCAGTATGGGTTTGAGTGACAGGGACACCTAAATGGTTATAAAGAACGTGAAACTTCTGAGTTGAACAGAGCTCTCGTCAAGTTTTCTCCTGTAAACGACGACTGTTATTATACAAATGATTCAATTTTTGAATCGTTAAATCTTACTCTTCAATGAGTCGTTTCCAGTACGAAAAAAACAGCGTCTAAAAGAAACACCTATTTTCAATTCGTCATTTCATTCAAGAAAGACTTTAAACGTACACGGAATTTAAGCCTCTGTGGTTTGACCCTTAGAGGACAAAAGAATGATGAAACGAAAACACGACACTGGAAGTGCCATCCCTTCCGGTTGATCGAAGAACGACGGAGAAAATTTCGTTTCTGAACGCAACTCTAACTTTGAATTTTTTTCATAATCTCGACCATATACAGCTGCACTACTTTTAAAGGTTTTGAAGTCGCCCACGGGAGCTTTGAATAGACAGGTGACGTATTAATTTTTATGGGACAGAGCGAGGGGGACTGAACAAGTGCTAGCAACGCTGAAAATTTACATAACGTAAATAGTGCCCTTATAGTTGCACCCAAAAAGCACCCGATCCGTTAACTCATTTTAAGCTACAGGAGTATTAAGTCTATCAATTGCGTTGATAGAGCACTTTCTCGATGACTGTAAAAACTTTTATTGTGCTTCGGTGAATTATTTATTATTTATTGTCTCCATTTATAAATCGCGGAACCTTACATTTGTAATGAAAACTGAAGTCATATTCAAATGAGCAGTTAACTGCTTCTTACTCGCTCGCGTTTTTTATGTGTGGACCCCTGAGTTTTCCAGTAAAGTGGATTATGATGGGCTTTTGCAGTTCTCTCTTTCACTTGATGACACTGCGCAGAAGACCACCAAAGCACGGTTTTTTAAACTGGTATTCAAAATTTAACTAATTAGTATTGTGTACACTCGTAACAATTGTCGCGAATTCGCAAAACCCCGAAAGTTAAGAGAAGAAGCTTTTGTTGCCACTGTCTGCCTTACGACAAATGTGGCCTCGAGTTTACATTCTTCGCAGTAACAAAATATAAGCACCTAAGGCAATTTCTTGGTGAGCAGTTAGTGAAGGAAGTCGAAACGACCAACATTACCCGTAGAATGGCACAATAGTTAACGGGTATTAGGTTCCACAACCAATTGAAACTACCTGCATGGTCCTTAACATTAGAAAATTACCTTACGGTCGGTGGATCCAAGAATTTGCCAGCCACCCACGCTTGTTTACGGATGTCCAAATCTTACGAAATTTTAAGACAGTCTTAAAAAAGATAATAAGTTAAAAGTAGACTGCTTTGTATCCTTTGTCTAAACGCGGTTACGTTTACCACTCTAGTTTTGTTTCTAGAACAAATACTAAGATATCAAGTGAAAGTAACGTTCGCAAGCCATATGCATCCAGGTAAGAAGTGTTCAATTTAACGACGATTTTTTATTTTTTATCAACTTTTTTCTTGTGAGTGGGCATATGCTATTTATTCTTGGTATAAAAAATTACACAATTAATTTAGTTTCAATATCACTGATTCCCAATTTGTGATAACACAATTAACTCTAAGGTTACAATACCAGCAAGGTAATAATTACAGCTGAATTATCAAGATCTTCTTTCACTTTAGGCTAGGTAAAAATTTCATGTTTTCTACCACAAAAGCTCCTAAACCCATTGGAAACGTCAGCCCTCCTAAATCATTTTCGTAAAAAATTATTTCAACCCCGATACGTTAAGCTAAATTGTTCCTAGAGCATCCAAAATCTCACTACTAAGATAGAGATGTACAAAATGTACCGTAAAAATGACTTCAACGCCATAAAATCTCCTGCTTGCGCGCTCATCTGAATCTATATTTCAACACCTTTCCCCTTTGTTTTCTACTTGGTCTCATTTTCGCGTGTCTCTTTTTTTTTTGCCTCTTTCCGTGTTACCCCATGAACTGTTACAAAAGGCAGAGAAAAAGAGCCAAGAACGATAAAGATGAAATTTTAGGCTATGGGCTGTAGCCTCTGCGAAAGTAGCTCACGTCACCCCGCTCTCACAACTCCGATGACAAAGTTTAATGTTTTCAAGACAAATACATCGTTCGCAAACTAAGAATAGAAACGTCACACGAGTACGCAAAAATACAACTGCGAAAACATGGAATATCTTCTTGATAGATTGCAACCTGTGAACAGCCGCCCTCTCCTAGATGGATTTCTTCAAAATGATAGAAAGGAGTCACGAGATTACCATCAATTCGACTGCCTTCCATATGAACTAGTCTTACTAATCCATCAAATCCTACACCTAGTTTTATTTTACCATTGCATGTCTAGGAAAAAGGGGAACCTGAACTTCATCAAGTTACATTTCGGTATCTAAATAACATTTTACAATTGATAAGAGACACCCAAATATAAAACAAATTTAAAGTAGAAATTGTAATAATAAGTAAGCGTCTCGTCTGCTCCCTTTCACCTCACAATGCTACACTTCAAAAAACATAACAGAAAAGTAGCTCATTGCATATCTATCAGATTTACCCCTTGCACCTAAACATCAGAATGTTCACTCTCCATATTATTCTGAAAATCTGGAGAATACACAAATGCTAACAAGGAGAATTTCGGTTTAACAAGCTTTAGCTTCCTTATTTGTTGATCATTTCTTTTATTCTCATGACCTTTATGTGTGATTCGGGGGTTAAATTGTAGGGAGAAATTAGATGCTAGTCACTCTTAGGGACGAAGGGTTAATAGTTTAAAATTTGTTTTAATTGTGTTGTTTTCTTTGTGACAAATGTCAACACAAGACAATGAAAATTTATCTCTGAAATGTAATTAATCAGAGTTAAAACGGTGACTTATGACCTGTGTCGAAACACAATTGTTAACCAGGAACACAATCAACGACACACAGTACAGCACCTGATCGTAAATAAAACTAAAACATTATCTTATTGTCTTTTCAACCAATAACGGCAGGCAACGAATGTTTCTGAGGCGCAAAAGCTTATGAAATTTTAAGAGTTTTGGTGAAATATAACAATAAAATAAATTTCCTTAGTAAATTTGTTACAACAAGCTTGATCTGACTGCCCGTACGTTTCCTGATTTATTCTCAAAACAAAAACTGGGAGATCGACTCAAACGAACGTATTTGTTTTGTCGTTAGGTAGGTGATGTTAACTATGACGGTGTATTTCTCTTAATTTGCCTGTTGATGTTTTCTTTTTTCGTTGTTTTTTTTTATACATCCTGTAACAGTTTTAAGACGTACAGCAAAACACGAGAATTCCTAGTTCATGTTCACGTAATTTAGTCTATGGCCACGCGAGAAATAAATAAATTTTATTATTGTCACGACAAAAACGCTTAGTTTGTTCCAGTTCCTAAGAACTCTTGAGCCATCAGATTGGTTCCGTTTCACCTAAAATACTATTAACATCACGTGAAGCACACACTTTGCCGTTGAAGACAAGCAGCAAGTTATTATATCTCAGGCACGCACACAATCATATTTCTCCTTCTTCAATCAGCCATTTCTGTTTGTCCCCTCCTTCCTGTTCACGCTAAGAGTTTTAGAATGCTGGATTCAAGAAAGGGAACCGAGAAACACAAAGGACCACTATTATGGGGCAAAAGTTGACTGATATGAACCCTGAAGGGAAATAGAAATTTCGTTAACCCGGTTTCCTAGGTCTGAAGGCGGAACTCAGTTTTCAGAACGCTTAGGGGACCCATAACCTACACGTCCATTTCTAGGAAGCATTTCTACATTCTTACTGTTTTTGTACCCTGTGACTTAACTAAACTTTGCTGTGTTATAAGTTTTTAGGCACTCCAAGATGATACTTGCTTTAAGTGTCCTAGTTTTCACGCTGGTTCACAGGAGTGTGGTAAGCTTTTTAAGCGATATCTCAAGACAATTAAAAAGATACATTCCTCATAGTCGACATCCAAATAATTTTGGAGAGACTGTACTCCTACGTGTAACTATAGAATGTACCAATTTGTGAAAATTTAAAAGTTCCAAAAAGCAGTAGACCGCACTATCTCAGTCAATACATAAACAAGTAATCCAAAGAATTTCTTAAAAATCAATTTTCATTCTATAGAGAGGAAATTATGGAGTCGTATTTGACCAAACCCAGCATTCCTTTCCACCCTTCATCACTCTCTTTCTCTTCATCGTGCCCCGCGTCACTTTGGGATAGTGATGAAGTTAAACTACGATTTCTTATGGTAATCGAGCTAAGTGGAGTGCAATTTGGTCTGAAATATAAGCATAAGCGTGATTTGAAATCATAAGTATGATTTCAGACCAAAATTGCACGAAACGGAGTTCAATTACCAAGGGGGGAGAGGGGAGTGGTTGGAGAATTTTGTTTGTGTCACAATGAAATTTACTTGAATTGCCCTTATGATACCGTCCTCCCTCATTGGCAGTCAACTGGCAGTCAATTTACTATACCCCCCTTCATACTGTGTTGGCGACGACAATCCCCCTTTCCCTCCCTCTAAAAACCATGTGTTACCCGTCATAATCCTCCGACCCCCCCTCTCCCCCTCGTGTTAAATCATGACTGATACATAAAGAGTATAAATAGTCCATGATCTTTCATAAATCTGAATCAAGTTTCCCGATTCAGTCGAACTGGAAAATCACAGTAACTGGCTGTTGTGCCGATTACTTTGATTTGAATCAGTTTAAGATACTTTACCAAGATACACTCTAGCCCTACAAGTGAAACAAAAAAACTGAAAAAAATTACTCACTGTGTGGCTTGTCTGACAGGTGTGTGATGAACTGTACCCTATCTCACAAGTCGAGGACCTCCTCCAGAATCAGCCCGAGTGGACCTTGGCCGACTACAGTGAGCCTGTAGAGGGAAAACTTTCTGATGAACCGTAAGCTTACAATCACTGATATTTCAACTATCATGAACTTAGAACGATTTTGTGCAAATGCCGATATAAGTTATCGTGTTTGGATCAAGAGAGGACCTAACTGTGTCAGTAACAAAATGCTTGAATATGAGCAGCCCTTAGAAGCCCTAACTTGGGACTTTCTAGCTCTTTCAAGTCCAAACTGTTCGATTACTAACTCTAACAGTCGGAAAGGCCAAATCAGACAGTTGAGCAGTCACTTAAAATTATGTACTTTACGCCATCGTCCAATAAAACTCAGCTACCTACCGAATCAAAGTGAAACTAATGACGTCAGGTTGATAGGTCCACATTAGAAACATAGTAACGTGGACAAAACTAACAGGTCCAGTTACTTTTACTCAGTATCAGTAAGAATGGTACGTGCTCTCACATTAAATTTTTCATTCCTGAGTTTTTCATGTTTTTTTATTGACACAATTCATTGGAAATCGCACTGCGAGTCGTACAACTAAGGGGTAACGCTGATCGTAATTTCAAATTATCCTTGCACTACGTACTCGGCCAATTTGAAATCCTTCGCCTGATGACTCCCTGAATTATACTCCACTCAGTCCTATCACCATCACATATCACGATAAAAATACTTCGCTGAAAATCCAATGAACTAATGAGCTCCGAAACTTCCCCACAACACAAGAGAGTTTGAATATGAATCTTGGGTCTTATTTCACAAAAACAGATTTCTAGCTTCAAACTTGCTTCAGAACGACCCCGATCAAGATGACCTGAAGTGGATGGAGACTGACATTGTGGCCAAGTATAAATTTAAGAAAGATCCCAAGAAAGATATGTGGATATTTCAACCCAACTTCGCAGGACAAATCGGCACAACAGACTTTGCCAAAGATGCGGATAGGATAAAGAAGTTCTTTAAACGAAACAACGATTGGGCAGCTATGAAAAAAAAATTCCGCACTCCTACTAGCTGTCTTCAACTCCTGTACATCACTGCCGCTAGGTATCTCTTTGTGACACACGTTCTTTACGTTCTAAGTGGTAATAAGCTAAAACCTTGCGTGAGAACAACGGCAAAGAAAATCGAAATCCCTGACTCTGTGTGCTTTCCTGAGCCTTACGGATCAGCTTCTTGCACTTCGGACTACGACGTCGGGCTTGTTGGAAAAGACGCTGGTACGCTTACAGAGAAATTCAACAACTTTTTCCAAGACAGAAATGAATTCGGGAAACCCTCGGAGATCGTTTTTGACACAAATGTCTACGCTTTCACCCTGGAGTACGCCATGCCACTTCTGTTTGTTAAACTACCGCCTACATTTGCCAAAGATGTAGAGAACAACGAAAAAACATTAAACAGCAAGATGCAAGAATTAGCCAGCGCTTATTACAAGGTCTACAAGTACAACATAAAGTTCTTCGAAACGATGGTAAATGGAGCAAAGTTATCAATGAAGGGAGCACCTAAATCAAAAGTCTTCTTAGAAAAGTGGCTGGAAACCTTTAAGAGCTTGGATGCTAAAATTCCGATGAGACCTGGGGGAGGAGTGACAGAGAGTGGCCTGAGACTGGCCCATAACAATCAGTATCAAGCCCTGGTGAAAGAAATGACTTCAAAAGGAGGATACAAACCGGCATTGTTAGGTAATCATAACTGGACCAGCAGCACTCCAAGCTGGCTGTAACCGTTTTGGTCGCCATGACGAGCGGGTAGAATTTTGGCTAATTTTTCAATTTCAGCGAAAGTCGTCAAATTGACGACCTGTGTTTGGCGGTTGACTAAGTAGCAAACTGAAACGTTTTCAATCTTTGATTTTCCGATCCGTAGTTAAGGTGAAACAGACATTTATATAAAATAATATGATCGCTCCTTCATTACCTCCACGGTTTCGCAAGTGTCCAGCTTGAAATGTCGCGTAAAAACGATTGCTAGCCGTATTACGACCACATTTCTTCGGAAAGTCATCTCTACTTCCGTACTGATCATATCAAAGTTTTCCACCCCCTACCAAAAAAAAAACCACACTCGATTTTTATTCAGAGATAGCAATTCCTGGTTTAACGTTTTGGTAATTTTATTCAAACAGATGTTCTTGCAAAGGCCCTGATTTACGCAGCTGAAGCTTATCACACGCGAGGCGCCATACGACATGTAGTGGGTGGCACACAAATGAAAGTGATTGACATATCGACGTCACTTTCGCTTATGGACCTGTGGGTATCCATGATCGAAAACTGGGGAGAGTCAAACAAGGAGTTTGGCCATTGCCAGATGGAACCTCTGGAGGTATGCTTCCTTAAGATGAGTAAGTACATGTGGAGAATGTTTAACGCAATGAACTTAATCCGTACTAAAATAAAACCCGAAAACAGGCTTGGTTTGGTGCACTTTGGAGAGGGCATGAGCGATCCTGAGTATGCGATGAGAATGTGGCTCGACTACAAAAGGCAAGGAAAGACCGCCATTCCAAAGCAACAGGACAAAGTTATACAGTTTTTGAGACAATTCAAATGCGATAAAGCCCAAATCGGTCAGCCGATATCGTCGACCTGCATCGCGAAGATGAATGATAAAGTCAACGCCTACAACGAGAGATTGGCTGCGCAGTGGACCGACGCACCTGTGCCACCGCCCTGGCGCTACTAAGATTTTACATCGTGATATTTATTGCTTTTCGATGGAGCAAGATGCAGTACAAAAATTAAATTAAAGTGACTATATCAAACAAAAGTAACAATGGTACATATCAATAGGAGCCAGTGGGTGCTCAAGAAAAATTTGTCTGGCCAGCTCCATCAGTGCTTCAAGTTTAGCACCTGATTTATTGAAACAAAACACATTTCACCTCAAACAAGGGAATCACTTGACCCTTTAACACTTCAAACCCATATCAAATTTGTAATTCTCCTTACTGTCAACCATACAATTCATATAATGTTAGTTCAGAGAATTAAGTATTGGATCAACTGATTATCCCCAAATTGACTCATGGGAGTTAATTCCCATGAGTGACCAGGACAAAATCTCTCCTTACAATATCAATACAATATCAAGCAGAAAATGAACAAGAATACAGAAAAATATCAATTAGGAGTAATAAGTTGATCCAATACCAGATTCTCCAAACTAACATCAGAAGAACTGTATGGCAGATGGTAAGGAGAATTACTAACGAGATCATTGAAGTGAAAGAGTTAAAAACTTATTCCACTTCTTGATGTTACTTAACTCTCATTTAATTTTATTGCATATAAAATAACTTCCTTTTTCCATTTGACATCATAGGTATCATAGTATACACTATATATGCATTGGAATTAATGAAAGGACAGAGTTAACCCATGAGATCTCTACAATGCTCAGTTACGAATTTACCAAAAACATGAATAATTACTAAATAAATGTTATGTCAATAAGATATCAAGCAGCAAGTGATGAGAATAAAGAAAAATACCATTGAGGGGATTATCAGTTGAGCAAATACCAAATTCCCCACTATCACCATTTTGATAACAATGTCATGGCACATGGTAAGGAGAATTACTAATGATATCTGGTGAGTGAAAGGGTTAACTAGCAAATGGAAACATTCATTTATTCTCTTATTCCAGTCCTCCTTGAAAAGAAACACCCTCTAAGTATTTGTGACAGAGTGGGAATTTGACAGCAGTTTCTCATCAAAACAGGGTATTCTTTAACATATGATATTTTTTGCTACTAAAAGCTATGGTTACCTTGATTAGTGAATATGACTTTCATGAGAGAGAATCAAAAGCAGATTTTGGTTTAAGAGGGGCTTGCCAAAGTTTTGCTCGGGAATGATTCAAAAACACAAGTAAAATTCAGTCAAACTTTAGACACCGTGTGCCTAGGATACATGTTAAAGTCATATTTCCTTTTTGCCCTTTGCATGAAGTCTACAGGGTCTGTACCCCTTTCTAAAAAACAATTTTCCAGGATTTTCTCTAGGCTATTTCCTGGACTTGGATTTATTTTTTTTCAAGATTAGGAAGATTCACATGAACCTTAAGATTTTCAGGAATAACCATTTTTATCATGATCTGCAAAGTCAAACTGACAAGTGATGAGAATTTTAAAGAATATGCATGAAAAATAACAACAAGTTCGATTGAAAGGAATTATCCATTCCTGGAAATTCAATGGTAAACTCAGGACTTTGTGGGATTTTTTCTGAAACCTGTAGAGGCCATAGGTCTGAATGTTCTACTTATAAGGACTCAGTTTCATACTTAGGACAAAGAATCAAACAGTTTATGCCTAACCAGGCTTATAAACACCTGTCCATAGACACAAGCCACAAAGATGTTGGACCAGTGGGCATTATTTTGAAGATTGCTCAATGCGGAATGCTGTCTGTGCAGGTTCAAAAATCGCACAGGATATCTTTATGAAGCAATGTTTTGTTTGCATACTTTCTGGTAGGCTGGCCAATTCTAGTCCAAGTTATGCTGAGGTTGAGGGAGCGAAGCTAAAATTCGTGTTCACACAAAAAAACCTTTTTTGCGTCATTAAAGGTCATGGATAGCATTTTCTGGAGAAGAGCTCCATGCAACAAATGGCTCTATCTTCTGGTGACAGGTAAGGATCCAATACAACTGATACAAACCCTATTTTTAGAATGGTCGTTACTTTTGAGAGATTTAAAGGTGAAAATACTTTTCCTGGCTGCATTATTTAGAATTCAACGGTGTACTCTTACACCGGAACTGAACACATAGAAAACGTGTCAACAACAACTATCGATAAAATTTGCAAAACAAGACAATGAAAAAGTTGATCGTTGAGTTTAAAAAAAAGGCCAATCACAATAGCATTTTACCCCATAGTTTCTCACCTTGAAAAACTGCTTCTAATGATTCAATGGCTGTCGTTCTATTCTTTTGAAAACAATACGATTTTGCGTCATTAAAGGTCATGGATAGCATTTTCTGGAGAAGAGCTCCATGCAACAAATGGCTCTATCTTCTGGTGACAGGTAAGGATCCAATACAACTGATACAAACCCTATTTTTAGAATGGTCGTTACTTTTGAGAGATTTAAAGGTGAAAATACTTTTCCTGGCTGCATTATTTAGAATTCAACGGTGTACTCTTACACCGGAACTGAACACATAGAAAACGTGTCAACAACAACTATCGATAAAATTTGCAAAACAAGACAATGAAAAAGTTGATCGTTGAGTTTAAAAAAAAAGGCCAATCACAATAGCATTTTACCCCATAGTTTCTCACCTTGAAAAACTGCTTCTAATGATTCAATGGCTGTCGTTCTATTCTTTTGAAAACAATACGATCCCACAGAATGAAGGACGCAAAAAACCTCTATTGTTTTGCTCTTTCGAAGTAACCGCGCTTTTGATAATTTATCATCAGCCCGAAAGAAGCTGGGAACTGGTTGATGAAAATATGAATACAGAATATTGGATATGGAACTTTGGATATGGAACTGTGGAACGAAACCGCGATCAATATATAACAAAAAACAAATGAATAATTAAGTTAATCAAAGAGTCGAAAAGAAGGCTAAAAAAAGATAAATTGGGGGCTATTGCTAGTACTCCATTGGTTCATTCAGTCTTGTCCTCAAAACTGACTTACAACTTTAATCAATAACAATATTTAAGCCTACTGAAGCTCACACCAAAAATCTCTCCACTCTTTGACATGTTTTGACACAAGATTTGTTAAAACGTTTAAGTTGCTGCAAAGAAAGCCTCACACAGAATGAATGCCTCTATGAAGCACTTGGTACACTTGCAATTTATTGATTTAAAAAATGTAGGCTTCTATTTCAATCTCTTCTCAGGTAACAGGCAATTATTTTACCAGCATTAAGTTGTTGTTGGTTGGGGGGAAAGATGGCAAGTTAAGAAGATGCAAAAAGAGAAACTTTAAAATGGATTTTTCTTTTATTCAATTCTCTTCATTTGATTCATTGAGACAAATTTAATGATTGCTCCAACTGGTCTTACTTAAAACATTGTAAGAAGTTCTTATTTACATCAGCCTCAGCCTTATTGCAGGCTATCTTCCTTGATTCATGATCATCATATCAATACAAAATGAACTCTTATGTTTTCTTCAAGGTTCTTCCTTCCTTTTTCCCAATGAACATTGTCTTATACCTACCTAAACATCATCTGAACTCACACAACTGATCAGTGAATATAAAGAGGATCTTAATCTATTTAACAAATAGATTCAAAGTTGCCGTTTGTCTGTTCAGTAATAGATCACAGATGACATCAAAATGTGGAAAGAACAAAAAAGTGGCACACAAGGCGCAGCTGAGTGGGTCACTGATGGATAATGACAATGGTTATGGATGCAAGTAGTCCTCTGTGTAAATGTACTCAACCTTTAAATATCATAGACCTCTTGAATGATGATGGGGGTGATCAAAAGATGACAGCAGGGGTTTGATTGAGGTACCCAAGCATGAAAAATCCCATATGTCAAGCAACAATTAACCCCACTCTTCTCTTGGGAGTTCAGGGTACCCTCCAGGAGGTGGTGGTAACAATGAAGGAGGCAGTTGCTGTAGAGGAGGAAGACCTGGTGGTAAGGTGTAACTTGACTGTGAAGCAGATTTCCCTGGTGCATCTTTACATTCAACCTTTTTTCGCTTTTTGTCGTACTTCTCCAGCCACTCTTTAAGTGTTGCCTGAGGTTGACCTGCCTGTGACTGGTCTGGTGTTTTTCTACCTAAGCCTAATAAACAAATATTCTGCCTAGTAAATGCAACTTTAAAAAAAAACTACTAAAATACACAAATTCTTAGGTAACTATATGTAAGGCGAAAGTGGAAAAGTCAAAAGTCTATCATCAAAGGTCCTAAAAAGGAAGCCCATCCCTCAGAGAGACTTGCCTGTTGAGCACATGCAATGTCAACCTACCAAACAACTAAATCCCAAATGATCCCTAAATGTCACCACCATGAGAATAAATTCTTGGCAACAAACCACAAAAAGCACAATTCCATCCATATTTGAATTTAAACAGTCTCCCATTGAGATACCAACAGAAAAGGAACTGTTCTGCTATTGAAAACACAGTAAAACATTTGAGGGCCGACTGAAAAAGGTGGGAGCAGCTTCACATACTTCAGGAATGAACTTGCAAAGATGGAAAGGGGCAAACTTGCAATGGGGTGAAACCTCCAGATACATTGTTACATTTGTTACATTTGTAACAAAGCATGATTAAGAAGTTTTAACCCTTTACACCATAATATCAGTATGCATATTCTCCATACTGTTCATCATACATTTCTTAAGGTGCCAACTAGGAGAATTTGGTTATCAATCAAGAGCTTCTTTAGTTGGTGATCATTTCCTTCATTCTTGAGACCTTCATGTATGATTCAGAAGAGATATTGCAAGGAGAAATTAGATTTTATTCACATAAAAGGGTTAAACACAAACAGACTATTATTTGAACCCAAATTAAACAGAATGAAAATTACATCAAATGATAATATACATTTTTGTGCCTGCTTGTTTAAAACCTGTCTACCTTATCTAGGTAAAAAATGTATGAATAACTTTATCCTTACTTGCTTCTTGAGTTGCTAACAACATCTGTGGGCTTGTATGAGAATACCAGCAATTAGCACCAAATCCACATGTTCCTACAGAAGTAAATTAATTACATTATGTTGTAAAGTTCAGTAATAAATAATCATTATGAAGTTTTTAGTAACATGGACTACTCTTGTTACATGTACAGACATTCTGTGCAATTCAACCACCAGTTCTTAAAGCAAATGAACAATGACCATTCCACAATAAAGAAAAAAATCAGCTTCCTCCTACATTCAAATTAGGAAGACACATGTTATAAAGAGGGGTAAGTTTCTAAAGAAACTGTTGTGCTGCATTGGTAGGAGAGTATATTAGGATCATTTAGTAATATTAACTTTGTTGATAATGTAAATTGGCCACCCTAAAGATTTTAAAGCTGACATTTTGAATATTGGCCCTTCATCAGAGCAAATGACAAAGGGATGATGCTCGAAATATCAGCATCTAATGTTAGACTCATTATAGTGGAGCTCGCAGAGCGTAGCCCCATAATTATACAAAGTAGTAGTAACCCATCAAGCCAAAAAAATTTGGATGTACGTACAACCGTATGACTGCACAAGGTGCTACTTTTAACATGTGTGGTCAACTGTACCATGGGCACGCCAACACCATGGCTTTGTTCAGTAGTCCAGTGGTCAGTGCACTGGGCTTCGAGTTGGACGACCCAGGTTCTAGTCCTGGCCAGGGCAAAGCGTTGTGCCCTGGAGATGTGTGGGAAAAAAAAATGCGAGCTCCACTTTTAGGCTTGGCTAAATCTATATATTATATGAGTCTGACAGGTATATTTTGGTCCCCTTATCTTTGAGCTGCACCACATTTTATTCAACTTTGCTGTTTTATATAATCAATATGCAACTTCTCCCAATAATATCTTTACATTAACCAGCAAACAGGTAATGAGGATACTCAAACTTATTAGGTAGAAGTTGTCATCTTGATGTAACACCTAATTCTTGTAAATAATTTACAAGGAAATGTGTAGCAGCTAGAGGGGAGAATTAACAATCAGATCTAGGGAGTTTAAGGGTTAAACCTTGACAATGGTCCAGATATCCTATTCCTCTTGTTCACCGGAGTCCACCCCTCTTGTTTGGTTCTTGCTTCAAACGAAGCAAGAACTGATCAAATCCTTCCCTTTCATTGTGACCTTAATTCCACAGACATATAACTAGCTCACCAGTAGCAAAAAATTTCCGACAGGGTGGTTTACTTGTTTCCTCAGCCAAGAGAACTGCAGGATCTACATGTAAGTGGACAAAATTCATGATGAGCAAAAAACAGTCTACATGGATTGGAAGTAAACAAGTGACATATCGCTTTTTCCTACCTTTAAATGAATCATAGTGAAGCTTACGATTTCGCTTGTGTTGCACACCATTGATATGATTTTTTCTCGTATGCAGAGTATCAGCGAAGGATCGGTTACAATATTCACAGTGATACCTTTTACCCATCCTTTACAAACAAAATAACGCTGAAATGTCACATCCAAGCTGTTTCCGGATAAAGTAAAATTTTGGAAATTTTAAGCTAACGTACTGCGGCCATTTTGCTTAGCGGCCACACTGATTCGAAACATTGCAACCTGGCCATCAATTTTGGACAGTGCGAGGGTCGAGGGGGACTGGCGGAGGGGTTAGAAAAGCATAAAACGTTTGAATCAACCCTCCTCGAATGGGGATGTTTTGGGCCAATCTGGAAAAATGAAACAAATTTTTCAAGGAAACAGAAACTGGTTGAAATCCCAACGGGCTGGGAGCAGATTAGCAGGCCATTTATAGAACGCAGTCAAGGGGGGGGGGGGAACTGGAATTGTTTTGTGACCGCTTTGTTGAAACGAGGGCATTTTAGCGAGTTATCCATTTCTAGGTTTAGAACTCCTGAAAGAAGGTCTTTCTCTTAGGAGTTCTAAAATAAGCAATACATTGTGAAAGTAAGGTGAGATATTTTTATTGAGAATTTGACTGTATTTTTACTTCCTAAGAACAGTCGTAAATATTCCCATACCGTGAAACTCGTATATTTCGCCATGACTCTTGTTTTGCAAGATGATCATCTCTTTGCTGGAGCTTAGGCTGCCTGTGGAGAGACCAGCTATAGCCATCGCGCTGATTTCGAAAGGAACCGATTAAAAAAAGAAAGGAAGCCAACGCTATATTTTATGTTCCCCGAGTGAAAGGCTTCACCGTATAACAAAACTTTGGCGATTCAGTTATGTAGTTATTCACAGATTGGAACAGTCATTAATCTGATTTAGGACAACCTCAAAACTTGGATGGTGTCCAACCTCGGATGAACCTCCGATTCATGAAAAGTGATTTTAGACAATGTGCTACTAGCTTTAGCTGGCGCCCGTTTTTTCCAGTCATTTGCGACGCTTGGACGTTTTGATGTATTTGACTAATGCACGCCTTTTTGACATTCGATTTTAGATCGCACCTTTTTAAACTGGGTCTGTTGTTGGATTGCAGCTGTACGTGCTTGAGTGGCGTATACATTTCGAACGGTGTCCGTTTTCTGGTGGCGTCATATTATGAACAACATCCGGTCTTTGGCGCACAGTGAGAAAGTACAGTGAATAGAACGAGCTAACGGAGGCTGGTCGAGTCACTCAAAGGCTTAGCCACATGCCGCAGCTTCCGCCCAACAGTCAATAACTTGCATCTTTATTTGATCCTATCAAGCAACTCGATGTTAAACTTAATTAAGTAGAACACTGTTCAGTGAAGTCAGCATTTGACAATAATCAAACTGACAATCTCAAACAATTTATGTCACTTGTGGCTGGTTTATATTGGTTCTGGAGAACCAGCCAACTTAAGCTAGTTATTGAATTGAAAGGTGGCGGATTCAACGAGAGTGTCAGAATTTTACCGGATAGAATAACAGCTAACACTGCCACAGATAGCTCACTCACGCAAATTATCGCCCATCTTAATTGTTTGCAATTATAGCTCGAGGGCTTTTCTACCAAGAAAATTTTAAACACATGCAGAATCCATAGCCTTCCCATCCTTCTTCACGGGTAAGCGTGCTGTTCTGTTTGTTCACTAAAAGAGCGTGAAAATGGTAACAACAGCAAATTTGCAAAGAAAAAAATTCTGTCCCATTATTTCATTTCATTGACTTTTAGCGAATGAAAGGAAATCTTATTGGCTTGACTTTGTCTCTCGGTGATAAGGAAAAACGACTTTTTTTTTGGAGGTGCAACCAGTTTGAGCAACTTTTTAGCGTTCATGGCGTTGCAATTTACCAGAGTTGTGTATGGTAGAAAAACTGACGTCAAAACATTCTGAGTTTTTTCATTCAAGTAACTGCGATTAACAAAAGGAGTCTGGATAGATTAGAAGCCATACCGTGGAAGGAGAAATAAACTAATATCAAAGCGAGAACCATAAATTGAAAAGTGGTGGCTTGCGAAGAAAGGTATTGCCTTGACATCAACTCTTCCTTTAACTAAGAAAAAAAAACGTTTTGTGAAAAATCAGCTGTGTCAAAAATAAACTGAGAGGACCATCTCGAGACAAAACGTTTACCCTGTTTCGCCAGGGGACGAGATGTACATTTGGTTCATGTATTCACCGGACTCAAAATTCCGTGTTTAAATCCTTGTAAATGCTGTTTTAATATCTCAGCTGGTTGTTCTATATTTTTTTTCGCTTTATATTCTATAAGATAGGTATTTACTTAATAAACTTTTGACACTGTTGCCATTCAGCTTAAATAAAGGGTATTCCAAAAGACAATTCTGATGGACAGTGACAACATTAGACTAAATGATTGGGTCAGTAAGATTTGTGCGTGTAAAATTTGGAGCTAATCCAAGACTTTTATTGCATTCTGTCTGGAGAGATTAAATAAAAACGGAACTAATTTCTACATGAATAAATCTAATTAGAATGGAGACCGTGCCGCGCCATGATCTCAGATGCGATCAGCTTCCCGTCTTTCCAAGCCTAACAGCTCGTTGGCTTGGTTCAAAGTTTATCATATTTTGTTGGGCTATTAGAGACTCCTATTTTGGCATAATTTGGCGCACCAGTCTTTTAAATTCCAATCTTGGCTTTGTTTTTTTTTTTCTTTTTGGTAATTTCCTTTGTGTAACTAAAGACTAAAGAATGATTGCAAAAGCAATTTAGAGCAATCAGATTTGAGAATTTCGATCAAGTATTTATGACTAACCAAGTGCACGTAACATTAGACAGGTTTTAGTAAGTACTTAGAGATTTAAGGCTAACCGTGGTCATTCCTGTATCGAGTGACAAAATATTCCATCTTGGTTCTTGTCTAAGAGGATGGTCTGTTCTTCATCCAAAGCTTCTCAAATCAATTTTCGAATTCTACATAATTATTAATTGAGCCAAATAGTGTATTTATTTCAAGTCTATTATCTTTAAGTCATTTTCATCGGGAACACTTAAACTAGAGTGCAAAAGCACCGGCAGTGAAATTACTGTATTAATAACGGCTTAACTAAAAAAGCACTTTATTTAAACGAATCTTTGTTCGTGCTTAGAGTACCAGCTAACCTTCATTGTGTAACGGAATCTACGATCAGTTGACAATCAATTTTTTGCCTTACCTGTCCATTTACACAATCTTTTTTTTTCGGTTTTTTTTTTTTTTTTTTTTTTTTTTTTTCACTGCTGAGCATTATTTCGAGTCGATCGACAGCAGGACTTTTAACTATTTACCGTATAAAGTGTTGAGATGTTAAGCAACCCAAAAAGCAGTTATGCCAAGTATTAACGATGCAGTAAACTTGTAGCTTCATTTGTCGGGTGGGGAATTTTTCACATAAAGAATCACTCTCAAAGGACGAAGAACACTGAAGAACACAAAATCAGTTTTTACCTTATTTTTAGGATTTTATCAAAGTTCCCAATCAGAGTGTTTTTGTTTTTTCGTTTTTTTGAGGGAGTATCTGATCATTTGACCAGCCAAGAATGCATGGCAGTTTTCTGTGTTCATATTACTAATGACGTATTTTGAAATAATTTCTTAAACATTACTAAGCTTGTGGCAAGGTCCACCTGAGGCCATAAATATCTGCCCGCTCTTAGTTCATTTGGAAGTTTCACCTGGCTTCCGGACAGTGCGCACGGATCTGAAACTTGGTGGTCAAAAGGCAACTACTCCTTATTTGAGGTACGTAAAAGACTTTCAAAGTACATACACTACGTTTCCGTACAACAAAAACAAGGACACAATGTTTTAACGGGTATATATGACTCCTTTACTGCAGGAATTTGGTCGAATTTGAATTATAGCTCTTAATGGTTTTAGCTTTTTAGCTTTTCAAACAACTTGTTCAAATAAAAAAACAATGAAAGCCAGAAATCTTCAAGTCTATTTATAAAAAAAGCAAACATCGTTTCGAAAATAAAAGCTTCCTGAGTGGATGATTGAGATTGATTGAAAACTGAACTTATCTCCTAAGTCATTTATTTTGCTTCTCCAAACACAGTGTTTCAACATAGGCTTTGTCACTGAACCCCAGTTACTTCAGAAAACCTTATTTCCTGACATGTTGAGGATAAATAAAAATTATCTCAATTAAAGGCGGCAATGAAAAGAACGCCTGTAGAATTACTCACAGTTTTACAACTGTAGTAACTTATAGACACCTGAAATTCAGAAAAAAGTCTATCTCTGCGATGACTGATTAATCATTGTTTCGGGAGATCTTTTCCTCTAGAACAGTTCCCTCGTTAATTCAGAATTGTGATCCACGGCGAAAAGAATATTACTCTTGATTCGTTACGGAACATACTATTACGCGCCAAAAAGTTAGCTGTAGTCATTTTGTTGGGTACTTAAGGGGAAGTAAGAATTTTTAAGTGATTTTCTTTGTTTCCACGTCTGTGGAAATTGTTCACCATTAAAAAAAAAAAGAATGAAAAAAAAGCGTATATTATAATTTCCTAAAGGCTTTTTTCTTTCCGTTTTTTAAGTGAGAAAAAGGTACAGGTTTCAGAATTTGAACTGAAGAATTTGCATTAAATATTAATGAAAACCTCAAAAGCAATCAGTCAACTATTGGCTAGAATATCAAAATGTTTGAAAAAAAGTTTGATCGAGTCAAGATAGGTTTACCAAAAAGAATTTTAAGGCAAAAACCACTACATTCGTTTCTTTGCGTCTTTCACTCTAAGTTATACAACCTGAGTCACTTTAAAACAACCTGTAAAAAGTACAATCCTTTCTTACACCGGTGACATCATCTTGGCAATTATGAGGTCATCCTCGATTCACGGTCTTGTAGCAGGCCTTAATTTTTTGTCCAGTTTTGAAGATTTTATAAACTCTTGGCGATCTCGTATTTGAAAGTTTTTTTTAACATGTCAAATAGACGCTTTTGTCAGCGAAAAACTTATCGCAACGAAACAAATGAGTTTCTGGTAGTTACTGTATTAATATTACCAATGATGTAGTGTAAAGGTTTTTACTTCTTAAACACTGTTACCATTTTAGCAAGTCCACATTTAGTCGTAAACATTCAGCACACGCGTTGTTCCTCGGAAATCTCATTGAATTAGCGAACAAAGGATAGATTTTGGGTCGGGAAACAATGCATTTAAAGCGAATCTGAGAGGCAACAGGTTGTTTTGAAATTCAAGTCAAGAGTTCGCATAAAGTATTAATGATTTCCTAAAACACTTAAATACAAGTGGCAAAAAAACTCACTTAGCAACGAAATTTTTTATTTTGATGAACATTTTTGTTGTTGCAACTGTTTTTTTTTTTGGCTTTTTTTTCGCTCAGTTCTTAGTTGTACAACCTTGTGAGACACCTTGCACGCTGTAGATAACATCGTTGATTGAATAAATGACATTGAGGTCATGAAAAAGCTCAATCTGCGGATAGTTTTACAGTTCTTTTAAAAATCTTGATTATTCGATATTTATGATATACAAAACACAAAGGATGAATGACCAATACGATCACTTAGGTAAAACGCTTGAAACAGGGTGAGAATGTGGCCACGCACGCAGTGCCTGATGGGAAGGTTGGGTTTAATATAGTGAAACATTTAGCGGCTTCGCTGTTTTCTGTTCGACTGAATATTGTATCACGTGTTATAAATGACAATGCATTATTCTGACGGCTTATTGATATTTGTAGGTTCTTCAGAATGATCTCAATTTTGAGGATCTTGGTTTTCATTTTGGTTCAAGGACATGTGGTAAGAGATGTATAAACAACCCACCGATTTCCATTCATACATATATATATATATATATAAACATCAAAAAAGTATATCTTCAAATCACTAACAAATTAGATAACTATGAGACAAAGAATGTATCGTTAGCAGAGTCTTGCAGGTGGGTTTTAGATGTGAAACAAAATCCTGAGAAGTGAAAAAGATGAGTTCATTAACAAATAACCAAATTTTGGACAAAAGCCATCTGATAAGAATATATTGTTTAGTATTTGCAAATGAGTCATCGGTGGAAAGCATAAAGATTTCTCAAAAAACGATCTGAATTCAGATAATTTCCCTACCAGCAGACCAGGTATAAAATTTATTTTTCCGTCACGAGCCCTTTAAACCCTAAGAGTGACCAGCTCTAATTAATCATTAAGATCATGCAGGAGCCCATTACCCGGAGTCTCCATACGAATTGTACCCTTGAGTCAACCCTGTCCCGTATCTTTTTATTTTTAGAACTGAGATATGTGGGGGGGTTCTTTAATTTCCCGTGAAAACACGCTGACATTCGCATAATTGAAATACTTTTGTGCGGCCTGCATGTGACGTAAATAATAGAGTACCACAGCTCTCTTATGATTGGCTATTATGTAAACACCCGCGAAAAACCCCGTAGGAACTACTTCTAAAAATAAAAAGATACGGGACGGGGTTGACTCAGAGGGTAAGTGGGGAAGATGGAAGCTCCGGGTAATGGGCTCCTGGATCACGAGAGTAGAGGAAATGGTCGCAACCTAAGAAGCTTTGATGAGTAAACAAATTATTTTTGTCAGTACCGAAGGAAATGTATAGAGATGGCTTTGGAGAATATGGATACTGATCTTAGGGTGGAAAGGGTTAACGAGAATCTGGCGTTATGTATAGAAAACATCCTTCGAGTAGCTGACAGTTATTTCAATCCTCTTCTCTTGTTTGCTTAACGACGTAATGCTACTCTAAAGAAAAGTAAAATTTACTCGGGCTAACCTGTTTTTAGGAGGGTTCATTGTGTAACTAGATTCACATATTTGTACCGCGAGCTTCTCCCTACAATGAAACTAACCTTTGTAAGGTTAGTTAGTTAACAATTATTCCATGAGCGCGTGTTGGATATGAGATGGTAAATAGGTTCTTCCACTCTCCACAACCGTTATTCTTCCATCTGTCACTCTTATATCCAGTTGACTTCACCCTATCTGTTTCATTAACCGTTTAAATGAGCGCAATAGAATGGGTGTGAGTAATCTTTACCACTTGAATGATATTACCAAAAAATGTGCACTGCATCTCAGGTGTGTGACAGGGAACTTTACCCGGTTTCCATGTTCAGAATGGATGTTGACGAGAACCAGCCGATTGATCTGCCGGAAAACGGCGAAACTAAGCCTCCCCGAGGAAAATCAGATGGTGAAAGGTAGGAATTGCTGCAAACATTATGTAAGAAAGGCGGCGGAGCATTCTGAAACTTGGGGGGAGGCTTATATTTCACTCAGCCATGCGCATACTCCTACTCAAATTTCCCAAAATGCCCTTTGCGTTGTTCGGTGGCACAAGCAAACCTCTTTGCACTCTTCACAGTTTCGATTGAGTCCGTAATCAATGTGTGACTTGTGGCACAGTCTTTAATTTAATTTAATCTTCCACCTTAAATATGAGTTACCTTTAAAATCAAGGTTGATCTCAAAATGCGCCAGAAACCCCATTTTCAACTACTGTAGGAATAGATTCTTACCAACCGAGTGCGAAAGCTGTACCGGGGAATATTGATCCGTGCAAGAGAATATGAATTGGTGGCTTATTTTCTCTTGGTCTGAGGTCGTGACAGTACCGACCGAGGGGAGCGAGGTCCGTACAAAAACAAACACTTAAAATTTCGTTTCTCTAAAAGTAAAGCCCAAAAATTGGAATAAAACTTAGGTTTAGATCGTTCAGTACGGTCATTTTGCTTGGCTTTCTGTCTGTATTTTTGCAGTATCCTTCAGTACAACACTGTGGTATATTTTGCGTATTAATGGAAGAATAGCTTGTAAATTCACAGACTCGTGGGAGTCACAGCGGGAGGCGCAGTGAGAGACCCAGTGGAGGCGCAGAGGCCTTATGGTCAGTGCACTGGACTCCGCGTCGAGAGGCCCGGGTTCGAGACCTGGCCAAGACTATGCGTTGTGTTCTTAGAGAAGACACTCTGCTCTCACAGTGCCTCTCTTAAGGGCACACTTAATTTGGAGCCTCGCTCTTATGTGTGTACCACATCGTCATGGTGAAAACGATTAAAAGAAAAAGAAACAAAAGAGACAAAAAAAAAAAAAAAAGGACTCGATCGAAAAATTCTAAGTGATAACCATGCCAAAGTCTCCCAAGTAATCGGAAAATAAACTCTTGACTTGCGATTTTGTCTCTCTAGCTCTTCGTAAATGAACACTTGCTGAACAATTCCGAGCTAATCAGATTTATCCTCTCCTCAATACTCTCAGGCGCGCAGTTGGTCCACCAATCGATGTTGATGTTCAGCCGTTGAAAAATCAAATTGCTGATGCTTACGGTTTCCAGAAGGATCCCAATAAAGATCAATGGAAGAAGCTACCAAGTTTTGAAGGTCAAATCGGAGAAGGAGGCTGGGCAGAAGCTGCACAGTTAGCAGAGCAATTCTTCAGAAACAACAACAACCACGCAACACCATGGCAAAATTTACTGGCTACACGAACCCCCATCAACCTCCTTTACATCACAGCTGCTAGATACCTTTTTGTAACCCATGTTCTTTGGGTTCAAAGTAATAGACAGTTAATTGCTTGCAAGGAAAAGAGAGACAAATACAGCGGCATTATTCAAAGTTTCGAGATCCCTGCAACTGGAGTGTGTTTTCCTTTACCTTATGGCAGCGCCACCTACAAGTCAGACTACGACGTCGGGCTCATCGGAGTAAATTCTGGAACCCTCACACAGAGCTTTAATCAGTATTTTCAAGCCGCGGCCCCGAATGGATTTGGCAAACCCTCAGAGCTTGTATTTGACACAAATGTATACGCCTTCACTCTGGAATTCGCCATGCCCATGATGTTTCTCAAGCTACCCGAAACGTTTGCTGCCAAAGTTGCGAAACTTGAAACAAAAGTGAGGTACAAAATGCAAGAATTGGCCAGTGCTTATTATAAGATGTTCAAGTACAACAACAATTTTTTTCAAGCGTTGACGACGTCAGCTCAAAATAACATGCAAGCTGCGCCTCGGCAGGTTCTGAACGAGTGGCTGACAGCGTTCGACAACATGAACAACGCTGAAAATTTCAGAAAAGGGGCAAGATCCGACCAAGCCTTCAGACTCGCCCACAATAATAGGTACCAAGCGTTTGTGGCAGCCGTATCACAAAACGGAGGATATGTACCAAACGAGATAGGTGATTAGTGATACGTAGTGCATGCTAAAAAGTCTCTAAAACGACTTGAAATTATTCCCTATTGAATGTTTAAGGTAGTTCAGCTTGGATTTGGTTTTGCTTCGTTATCATCTTTGATTGGTCTAGAAACCCACTCCACTCTCTAGACCAATGAGTCGAATGCAGAGCTCAAGTCAAGCCCGTTTTAGGTACTCGCGTCTTCCCGCGCCTAGAGCAGTTTCCTTGTTTATTGTTAAAGTTTACCCCATGAGTTATCATTGGCCACTTAAAATCTACGACAGATAAGTGGTCGATTGATTTGGTTGTCAAAACAAGTTATGATGACAAATGAAAAAGTTAAACTACAAATATTCCGAAAAGAGCTTTTTTTCAGTTTTCACTGGATGACTAACATCTAGCTCAGTGGTTTGATAGAACAGGAACATTTGAAAACAAATACCTCGGGCGCTTACATTCAAGAAATAACTATGTTGCATCTTAAACTAACATAACATGTAATACTGAGTTAAAACTAAGTTTAAGCAACGATTGACTTGTACAATTCCTGCCTCAACAGACAACGTCGTGAAGGCCCTACTCTACGCTGCAGAGGCATATCACACCCGCGGCGCCATACGACATGTGGTACAGGGTATGCAGATGAAGGCGATCGACAGGGGCGAGTTTAACACACCGCTATTAACTTATGACCTGTGGGTGTCCATGATCGAAAACTGGGGAGATGCAAATAAGGAGTACGCACACTGTGGCCCAAATGTCTTCATAGCGGCGTGCTTAAACAAGATGAGTAAATACCTGTGGAGGATGTTCAACGCGATGCGACTAGTCCGTGTCCGTCTGCCATCTAAAAGCAGTCAGGGATTGCTAGCCTTTGGTACAACTGATGACCCCGAGTCAGCCACGCAGCAATGGCGGCGCAAAGGTGCAAATGCAGACGCGAAAAGCTATTACCTGTTTTTGAAAAAGTTCGAATGCAATGCCATGATAAACACAGTGACACAGAGAGTCGTTGCCAACACCCGTTTATCCGTGAATTGTATGACAAACATCAACAACAAAGTCAACGCCTATAATATAAAGTTGGCAGGTCTTGTGACAAACAAGGACGGAGAAGGGATGTAAGCCTCAATCTTTTTGTGACGACTCCAAGAAACAAGTGATAACTTCTCCCAACAAAGCCAATCCATTGTCAAGCAACAGGTGGGAAGACTTAAAGAAATCATCAGGAGACCAAAATCGTGTTGAAGATACGTCTTAATTCTCACAGTTGATTTTAATTTTAACCTGTAGGGATAATTTCTAATCACATGTAAGTTGGGTGGCTATCATAAATCATCGGAGCAGTATGGAAGGTCTCAAGAGAAACTTGGCCGTTAGGCATAAAAATTAACAATTTTTAACCGTTAATCGTCAAAAGTAACAAATTTTACTGTAGGTCGTCAAAAAAAGTTAACCGACAACAATGGAATGGTCAAAATTTTAAAAGTTAGCTGTAAAAGTCATCACTCCACAGAGACTCTCAGTATAGCTGCAGTGTTATATTTTGCTATGAACTTACTTATATTTAAAGTATACATAATTACTACCTGTATTATCTTAAGTTAAGGTAAACGAGTCCTTCACTGGTAGGAAAAATTGACGCAAAACAGATAAAATGTCTTGCAACATGACGACTCAATAGCAAAAATATGAACTGATAAGAACCAACATCTACAAAAACTGGAGATAACTCGCAATATTGATGTTTGAATTTCCTACAAGGCGCCGTTTTGGATCGTTTGACGTCACACGGTTACCATTATGGATCAATTTCAGTATCTAAGTAACTGCGCTCCTACCCCTCCCCTAATCCAAAATTTACACCAACTTGCTAGAAGTTAATTGTTGTTGGGTCAGGGGAGAGGTGAGTGCGCAGCTGCTTAGAGACTGACATTGATCTGCCATTATTGTGATCAAACAACAGCTCCTAGGACCGCAGGAGTTCTGATCAGGGATCATGCAGATCATCTAGAAAACGTCACACGATCCAATTTCTCCGCACGCACTAAATTCTATAGTTTCAAAAGGCCAAGATCTGTTTGTTTTTTTCCTCACAAAAAATTTTTTTCCGCACTGATGCAGACAAATGTTACTGAAAAGATCATCTTTGATAATTTCACGACAATTTGTTCAAACTGTGCGAGGTGGTTTTGTATAACGATTGAGAGGAGCCAATATACGCCCTCGTGGCATGGAGGCCTTTAACTCCCGAGATCTGATTACTATCTACCTCACCAGCTGCTTCACATTTCCTGGTTAATTAGTCACTAGAATTTGGTGTTAGATCAAGATAATAATTATCTGATAAGTTTGAGTATTCTCATTACCTGTCTGCTGGATTATGTATGGATATTATTGGGAGAAGTTATATGTAAATCACTTGTAAGGTTAAAAAAAGAGAACGCTCATATTCAGTTATCTTTGATTTAAGATAGTCGTTGCATGAAAAATATCTGAGATATTCGAGCTCCAAAACCAAGAGAGAAAACTCTCGATTAAAAATTTGGTCAAAAATTGGTAAAAGAATCCATGATTGTACTTTGGAATCAACGATAAAGTAGTAATGATAAATTGATTGACGATTTCCGTTTTTCGCCCTTACACAAATTTAAACTTTGCCTACCAAATATAATCGACTAAAATTCGGAGTGCATATTGTTATCATCAACTTATTTTAATCGCATTTAACCAAAAAAAAAATTAAAAAGCTTAAAAAAGCCAACAGTTGTACTAAACACTATAGTAACAAAACCAGGATTACTTTCTCATATGGATTATTCCTCATGCAAATACCTCTAAGACAAGCTATTGATGACAGCCTTGTGCATCGTGTTGAAATAAAAGACTGTTGGAACCAACCCAGTGGTGAATCTTTTTTATCTTTCTGGCCATATTCACACCAGTTTCAGCTACGTTTAAAGGTATTTCTTAACCTCGAGCCCAGATCCTACGAGTGACTTTGGCCAAAAGGAGATTGGAACATAACTTGGAATTTTACAAAAATCGAATGGTGCAGAGATATTTCTTAGCTATAATGGTAAATATCAATCAGATTTGGTTGTCAGCAATGGCTACGGGAAAAACTAAAAACTACGAATAAATTCAGTTGTTGATTTCCTTGAAAATGTTCTTCAAGAACATTATCAGGCGTTCTCCTTTTCCAAATTTCTTTCAACTAAAAACTGGGAAACTGCAGGAAGTGGCCCTGGTTTAAATTCATTAATTTTCACAGTCGATTAGTCTGACTTAAATCAATTTTTTGGGGTTATAGAAGAAAGTAAAACAAAACAAAAAACAAAAAATAAATAAATGCAGGTCCAGCAGAGTTTGTATAAAGTATTACTATTTCCTTTTTCGAGTCACGAACGCTCGCACTTTTAGATTCCATCAAATGAGCCGTTTTTGTTTCGTCCACAGTTGTGCAACCGAGGTCGCCGTAGGACCCTTTCAATACAATGAAACCATGCATATAACTTGTAGTAACTTGTAGTAATATCACCCACAATCTCCTGTATTGTAGATACGCTGGCTGAATAGTCAATTCCTATTAATCTTTTTACGATTAGTGACGCTCAGTTGTGGCCAGCGGTATTCTAAGGATAAGGAAGTAAAGATTTCATTTAATATCAGCTTGCCCAGTCAACTAAGCCGATTTCCACGAAGGCGCGTTGTTACAGATACCCAATTTAAAGTCTAATCAACAACATTTTCATAAGTAAATTGAAATATTAAAGGATGCAATCGCGTAATAAAAAACTCTACAAGATCTATACTCTAAGATTTAGCTATGAGAGGGTGTGAGCGTTTATTTTGATTTTAAATGATGATAGAGATTCCGCGCTTAAATGAAGGTCTTCTGGAGATGAGTTCAATAGTTTAGCGCAGCACCACCGTAACATAAACTTTTTTTCGAGGTATTTGGTTTTGGGTGTATACGTAAATGCAACTGCAGTGAGATAGTAGAACCCTTGAGATTTTATTTTGTCTCACCATAAAAGCGACCGATTTTGTGGCAAAAAACTTAAGTTAATGTTAAATCGAAGAAAACGTTGTAAGCTAACGTCGAGCTTAAGAATTTCCATTAAGTATTAATAATGGTTTACAAATCAGTTCATTGAGACAACTCTTTATTTGTGCTCAGGGAACCAGCTAACTTACAGTGTGGCAGGGCACCAAAGAGTCTCAATGGGGTGATTGTTCACCAAGCAGGTTGAAATTAAAAGTTTGGTCATTTTACGGCTAACGATTCTAAATTTTTTTTCCTACTTAACTTGAGTTATCATATTATCCATCCGGTGCCGCACGCGCAATACCGTAGAAGGCCAGACGGGTTGAATCGAGCCGATCTGGAAAAAGCCGTCCGGCCAGAACATTGTTCCAAAAAATGAGTGACAGCATGGAACAAAAATGAGAAAATAAGTTAAATTTTTCGATGAATCGTGAATTTCTCGTTGTGACTACGAAACATTAAAAAAAAAGTCTTTATTGTAGTATTTCATTTTTTGGTTTTTGCTGCGCGCGCTAGTCTATCGCGCCCTATTTAACAAATAGAGAAGCCTTGAAACATTAAAAAAAAAGTCTTTATTGTAGTATTTCATTTTTTGAACTACAATAAGCCAATCAGAATCCCTGTTAGCATGGTTCAAATAATCTGATTAGCTGTACAAGACTAAAGCTGTCAAAAATGTCAAACCATCAAAGTTCATATTCTGCAATAGTTTACAAACTAAAATAGTTCGGCATGTCGAATTTAACACTTTCGCCTGAAGTGTTTTAGTTTCTAATACAGAATCTGAAAGTGAAATGTTCAGGGATATTCGGCCCAATCGTGGCTCACAAAAATACGTAAGTTATTTCACATGACAAGTAGAAAACAAACTGTTCAAGATGAGTGTATTATGAATGAACAACAGCCGAATTCGCTAGCACATGAAGATCGCTCGGAATGACAGCGCCGTAAAACTCGGCTGCAGTGACTGATGTGGCCTTCCACTCAACGCATTGGAAAGATAGTCAGAGGAAGCTCTTATTTTTCCACTCGAAGGGTAGTCGATTTAGTTCCTGCTCCATTGCGATGACCGAAGATTGCCATGATGAGCTAGCCGCGATAGACCTCAGCATGATCGCAGTCGCTCTGACACCGTCATGATTAGTATGAATTTTAATAGTTATGCCAGGTTATATTTTTCATAATTCCTGTTTTTTTCTGTTGTTTTTGAAAACAAAACTTTATATACTATACAAGTGTTAGCTGTGTTTGATTTTTATTACCGTACGTAAACTTGCAATCTAACTGAGCGTGAAAACCTTTAAAACTCGGACTGTCTATTTTGTTTTATCTTTAATGATTTTTGTCTCTGCTCACGTTACAGTAACGTAAATTACTTGCCTTGCTCCCTTGTTCCAAAATTTCACTTTCAATTAACGAAAGAAAAGCTAGAAAGAAGTCCCGGAAAAGGTCGGACATAGTACAATTTGACAGATGGCGTGACAGCTTTAGCTCAGTTCTATGCTCTATACTCTCATAGAGCACGCTCTTTCAACCAATAACACTACTTGTTATATCCGAACTTTATTATAATTAAGTTTCAACAAACGTTTCGAATATTCCTAAACTTATAATAAAAACAATAAAATGCTTATTGACTGAGTAAAGACGGGCCAGCCCTCTACCCCATTCGATAAGTACATATAAGTTTACAAGGAGGGACCTGAGCCAAGTGTCTTTTTTTTTAAGTACCAAAATAGATCTAGAGTGTGTAACCGTATTAGCCACAAGGCAAGACACATAACAGTCCAATGTTTTTATTCTTTCAAAATGACACATCATATGTGGGAAATAGTGTTATAGTTAACTTTTTAAATTTTGTGGAAAGGGGATAAGTTGCTACAAGTCCTACTTGCTGCGTCGGTAAGGGGTAACATAAGATAATTTGGCTTTATCAACTGAGTTGATAATGAAACTCGGCCACCATAATGAGTTTCTAAAACCGAGGTTGCGAGCGTTAACCCTTCCTCAGATGCTCAAAAGCTAAACTTTCGTAAATCTTTACAGAGGCAGATTTCCGTTATCAACTCATTTGGTAGAAACAAATGATCTTTTTCAATTTTTGTCCATTTACTTTACGGATAACGTGAAAACCTCCCACAGAGACCTTCGTATGTCGCCTATTATTAAACGGACCATTTTTTCGTCTCGGAAGTTCATTCATATAGTTTTGGTTTTTCGACTCTGATCAGGACTTCAAGGTAGCGATACTTTTCGTCGCATAAATTATTGAAGTCGTTTGTTTTCGTTATTGCCTTTATAGCTTTGATGATCATGAGCAAACTATCAAACTAGTCTAGACAGCCTTCGTCTATATTGCGGGGAGAAAGACAACAAGGAACATTTCAAATTGTGCAAACATAAGCTCTTACCTAATTCCAAGGATCTAATCATAATTTTAAAATAATAGCCTCTTTTGTGTTTTGAATAAAGGGACACTGTAGTCAGTCACGTATGACCTTTAGTTGCTGTCCAGTTTCTGGTAGTTACAGGTAGTTCACTTCTGACAAGATGTGAATTATGTCTGAAACTTTGCTAAGCGTATGGCATGTCTGTAATGGACCATATAAATTCAGCTTATTTTTGGCTTATTTAAAATTTCCATTTAGCTTTCGATCAGAGCGCTCCTCACCGAATCTTGGTCTTCATCAACTGCCCGTAATTGAAAGGTTGGACAGGGAGTTTCAAAGTACACGTACTAATGCATATAAAAAAAAGCACAATGTTTAGAGATCGAAGAATGATCCCTTTGCGTATGCCAGAAGGAATTTTAGATAAGTATCAAATTTCGTGGCCCTTGAAGCTGGCTGGATAGTCGTTTCCTGTTAATCTTTTTTTGATTACTGACGCTCAGTTGTGGTCAGCGGTATTCTAGGAGTAAGTAAGTAAATATTTCATCTGAAACTAGCTTTCCGATTTCCAATGCACGTTGTTACGGATACCCAATTTAAAATTTAGTCAACAACATTTTCAAAAGTAAATTGAAATATTAAAGGATGCAATCGCGTAATTAAAATCTCTTCAAGATCTATACTCTAAGATTTAGCTATGAGAGGGTGTGAGCGTTTATTTTGATTTTAAATGATGATAGAGATTCCGCGCTTAAATGAAGGTCTTCTGGAGATGAGTTCAATAGTTTAGCGCAGCACCACCGTAACATAAACTTTTTTCGAGGTATTTGGTTTTGGGTGTATACGTAAATGCAACTGCAGTGAGATAGAAGAACCCTTGAGATTTTATTTTGTCAAGTCTCACCATAAAAGCGACGGATTTTGTGGCAAAAAACTTAAGTTAATGTTAAATCGAAGAAAACGTTGTAAGCTAACGTCGAGCTTAAGAATTTCCATTAAGTATTAATAATGGTTTACAAATCAGTTCATTGAGACAACTCTTTATTTGTGCTCAGGGAACCAGCTAACTAACAGTGTGGCAGGGCACCAAAGAGTCTCAATGAGGTGATTGTTTACCAAGCAGGTTGAGATTAAAAGTTTGGTCATTTTACGGCTAACGATTCTAAAATTTTTTTCCTACTTAACTTGAGTTATCATATTATCCATCCGGTGCCGCACGCACAATACCGTAGAAGGCCGGACGGGTAGAATTTAGCCGATCTGGAAAAAGCCGTCCAGCCACACCATTGATGCAAAAAAATGAGTGACAGCATGGAACAAAAATGAGGAAAACAAGTAATATTTTTCGATGAATCGTGAATTCATGTTCTGACTCGGAAAGATTAAAGAAAGGTCTTTATTGTAGTATCCCAGTTTTTGGTTTTTCCTGCGCACGCCAGTCTACTCCGTCCTATTTTAGTTACAACAAACGTTTCTAATTTTCAAAACCTTAGTTAGTGGTTATATGACAAAATACTCATTGACTGAGTTAAGACGGGCCAGCCCTCCCCCCCATTCGATAAGTACATATTAGTTTACAAGGAGGGAACTGAGCCAAGTGTTTTTTTTTTTTTTTTAAGTACCAGAATAGAGTGTGTAACCGTATTAGCCACAAGGCAAGACACATAACAGTCCAATGTTTTTTATTCTTTCAAAATGACACATTATAAGTGGGAAATAGTGTCATGGTTAATTTTTTAAATTTCGAGTAAAGGGGATAGGTTTCTACAAGTCCTAGAAAAACTGTGATGCTGCGTCGGTAAGGGGTAACATAAGATAATTTGGCTTTATCAACTGAGTTGATAATGAAATTCGGCCACTATAATGAGTTTCTAAAACCGACGTTGCGAGCGTTAACCCTTCCTCAGATGCTCAAAAGCTCAACTTCGTAAAGCTTTACAGAGGCCGATTTCCGTTATCAACTTATTTGGTAGAAACAAATGACCTTTTTCAATTTTTGTCCATTAATTTTACGGATAACGTGCAAACCTCCCACACTATAAAATTAAGAGTCAATTTGGCCCACAAAAATGGGGCCAAAACGAGTGAGTCCAGTTTGGCACTCACTTAGGGTCAATTCAGCCCCATTCAAATGGGGCTGTTTTTGGCACCAATTTTGGGGCTGAATTGATCCCGTTGTAGGGGCCAAATTGGACCATGTGAAGGGTGAATTTGAAAAATACAGGGGCCACTTTGAAATTTATAGGAGCCAAAACAGCCCCCGAAATTTCAGCCTTCTCACAAATGGCCCCTTTAAAAAGAGCCAATTCAGCTCCAATGTGGGCCACTTCAGAAGTAGAGGGCACTTTCCTCTCCATGCTGATTATCCCCCTTACATTCAAATAATGAAAATACACCACATACTTTATCTTTCAAACACTCATTTATTAGGTTATAGATATTGTTTATGTAGAAACCTTTTTTGTACCTGATTTTACAGTTAAGAATCTTAATTGTGGTATAAAACAGACAAACTTTGAAACATCATGTGAAAGAATACAACATACATACATATTTAACATTAATTCAACCATTTTCTAAAATAGATCTCTTCCCTACATCAGTATACTTCTTAACAGTGCAAGCATTGCAAGAAATTACACCCAAGAGACACTTGTGAGTAAAGCTTCCCTTTTCAATGACTTAGCAAATGTGGTAATGTAAAGCAGCTTATAATTAAGACTGATTTAAAGTACAGAAAATTATCAAAATAAGACAGAGGCAACAAATGGTCCAGTTCCTGCACAAGAATATAGATCTTGTTTGATTTGTGCATATGAAAAACAAAGAGCCTTAGAGCAGCAAAGAGTATTCTTCCAGTGGATGTGAGAATACATGCACTCATATTGCTACTTTAGATATTATTAAAATATAAACTATCAGCAAGTACTACCACAGGCATTTGCCAAGTCATTGAAAATAGAGGAAACAGTGACAAGAGTCTGCCTGTGCCCAATTTCAAGCAATGCTTGCTCTAAAAAAAGTCAAAATTGCCTTTGACCGATTGTAAGAAAATATAAATGAGCCAAGTAACCCAATGAGAGCATCAAGAATCTTTTCTTGTGAGAAGTGACAAATTACACTTCCCTCTGTTACTATATTCAGGTGATTGATGTATTGAAGATCTCCAACAATTAAAATTTGTGCTGGACATAATCTCTGATTGCTGAATCAACATCAGCTACTCTATGCAATAAAAACAAGTTTTACAACCACATTAAAATCAAGCCAAAGTGCAAAAAGTGCCTGTGGCCAGAAAAAAAAAAAAAAGAATATATATATACACACTTAAGTTAAAGAATTAAAGAGGACACATCAATTCTCTGTGACTGAGTTTTGTGCCTAAGCACTTGTCAGACAGAAAAGTTCTGTCTGACAAGCACTTAGGTGCGAAATTCAGAGTCACAGAGAATTGATGTGTCCTCTTTAATTCTTTAACTTATGTATACTTAGCTCTGCTACCACAGCATTGAGCACTTTATGCCAAGGTAGACTCTACCCCCACATTTACATATATATATATATATATATTGTTTTTCTAAAACTATAAGCTAAAACACCAGAAATGAAAGTGGAAATTTAGCTCAATTTGTGTAATTTGTCTCCCATTCAAGACTTGAAAAACTAATGTATGACTCCCAAAATATCTGAAAAAAATCAGCTATTCTATGTCCAATATTTATCTAATGGTTTGACAACAGGAATATTTTAAAAAATTGCAAAATCAAAAAAGCTAAACAAAAAGGCAAAATTAATACACCCCAAAGTACTTGAACCTTTGTATCTGGACTTCATTGGCAAATGGGCTCAGAAATTTTAGCTGTTCATCTTAGTACCAAAGTAGCAGTTTTTTGGACTTGTACCTCCAAAATGGTCACAACTTCATTAAATGCATATGATGACAAACACACAAGAACAAAGGTCATGAACTAAAAAGGTGAGAGTGATTATTTTGCAACTTTTTAGTTTAAGGCAAGAGATTCAGCACCACAAAATTGTCTCTCTTCACTGCAAGCAGAAGAGGTGAAGCAATAGATTTTTAGACCATACCAATCCATTCAGTTTCCAAGTCAACTTAGTCTAGTATCCTGCTAACCATACAAGGATACTCTGCAATTTTTTTTTTTTGCAATCCACTGTTGCTCAGAGTACTTTAGGCTGCTGATGAGATATTCCTTCTGGGTATCCAACTCTACTGAGGCAGAGAACTGTACAAAAAAACAAACAAATGAGCAAATTAATTTGTTGTTGGAGAACAGTAAATTTTTGCAACTACAAAGTAGCAAAATATTTGTAAGCAAACTGTGCATAAGAAGTAAAAACACAATAATGGTGATCCATCAATGATGTATTTTCACCAAACTGTATATGTACTTATCAAGAAAAGAAATCATACCTCTTTGCACTTCAGTTTTAGTTCAGTATTCATGAATAAATAAGGATTGCTTGTAGACTTAAAAAACAAAACAAAGAAAAGTTTCTTACCCTCGATGGTAGTTGAAATTTTGAAAGCCATTCAGGAGGAACCTGTAGGTAAACATTTGTTTTCAAAAAAATTAAACTGTCTGATAACATCCTATCAATTCACTAATTTTTTAATTTACCAGATTTAAAAATTGGGTTTACTTTGTTTTATGCATGGTGCAAGTAAATACATATCTAATATATTTCAATAAAAATAAAGCAAATCTCGTCAATCCCCGAGATTTGTCATCTTTAACTAACCAACTGGCACCTTGTGTGTTTTCCTTTAGGATATAATCGAAAGAAAGTAATCGATAATGTACTCTTCATCATCCTGCTAAGTTTAATATACAAGAACTTACTTAGACAGTGCTCAGTTCTGTCGCCTCGTCCGTAAAACAGAGATCCTTGGGCGATTTACCCTTTTCTTTCGGTGCCAATGTCACCTCTAAATTTTCATAATCGCTGATGTTATCTGAATCATCAATCGACGTTTGAACCGTCTTACTCGAAGGACTTGATTCTGCACGCTGAAAGAGTGAGAGCCAAAAAATCAGCTTAAGTGGATGCAAACAAAGACATAGACATAAAAATATCAGTTCATCTTTTCAAGAATTCAGAGTGAGAGATCCTAAAATCAGAGAATCTTGAAGTAAGTTAAATCCATCTTGTGCAAATGCAGTATTCGAACTGTAACCGTCTCTATCTCTCGGCGCCAAAATTTGATCACGTGACTTTAGTTGCGAAACCGCTGAGACTCAACAAGACTCGGGAGAAGAGGCGAACCATTCATGCGTCAAATTCTCTGGTGGGAAAATTAATTATCGTACCGACGAAGAACTCGTGTCATCTCTAGGTTCAGCGTTCATTGCAATCAATTTCTTGAGCTTCAGACGCTCTTTTATAATAGGGTTGTAGTGCCTTGGTACGTCTGCATCTTAGGCGATGGCAAGGAGATCTTGGCCATCGCAACTGTCTTTTTCTGCAAGATATGATACGAACAAAGATCAATGGAGCGGTCAAGTTTGTGAATGTAAAGTTGCAGTAAAATACGTTGTTAAGAAATATCTTTTGCCTACCTTTCCTTTCTTAAGTCTCATTCCATACGACTGTAGCCAAAAAACAGCCTCTTCAGTGACGAATTCGCTGCTATAATTCATTATTGTTTCCGACGCACGTGGTCTAGGTTCGACTTATGCCATCACAGGCAGCTCACGCTCACGTCTCGAGAAAAAGCCAACGATTAATTCGTTGTGTGACTCGGTGTTCAGTTACGAGAGGAACCGTTGAAAATTTGAACACTTTATAAGGAATAGTATAGGGAACGAAATATGGTCGAAAAAAGAAAATTATTTTTACATTTTCTTTTTTTTCAAAAATTGCACCTCGTTGGGGCCAAATTGGTCAATCCTACTTGGCTCTTGGAAGGGCCAAATTGAGAAAAAGTCCCAAAGTAGAATTCATAGGGGCCAATTCAGATTTTGGAGGGGTCGAAATGGTACCTGTCCCGCCCGTTTTGGCTCAAATAGTCCAAAACGAACCTTGATGGGCCAAACTGGCCCTCGAGAAATTGGGGCCAATTTGGTTTTGGGGTCAATTTGGCTCTTTTCATTTTACAGTGCACAGAGACCTTCGTATATCACCTATTATAGAGCGGAACATTTTTTTCGTCTCGAAAGTTCATTTATATAGTTTTGGTTTTTCGACTCAGATCAGGACTTCAAGGAAACGATACTTTTCATTGCATAAACTAATGAAGTCGTTGTTTTTCGTTATTGCCTTTATAGCTTTGATGATCATGAGCAAACTAGACAGCCTTCGTCTAGTTTTGACGGAGCAGTGAACTGGTATCTTTGCCACGATGGGAGTTTTTTTCTCTTATAAAAAACTTAATACTACGGGGAGAAAGGTAACAAGGAACAATTCAAACTGCGTAAACATAAGCTCTTACCTAATTCTAAGGATCTGATCATAAATTTTTCAATAGTAGCCTCTCTTGTGTTTTGAATAAAAGGACACTCTAGTCAGTCACGTATATGACCTCAAGTTGCTGTCCAGTTTCTGGTAGTTACAGGCAGTTCACCTCTGACAAGATTTGAATTATGTCTTAAACATTGTTAAGCTTGTGGCTTAAACATAAGCTTAAACATAAGCTTAAACATAAGCTCTTACCTAATTCCAAGGATCTAATCATAAATTTTTCAATAGTAGCCTCTTTTGTGTTTTGAATAAAGGGACACTGTGATCAGTCACGTATGACCTTAAGTTGCTGTCCAGTTTCTGGTAGTTACAGGTAGGTCACCTCTGACAAGATTTGAATTATGTCTAAAATAATGCTAAGCTTGTGGCATGTCTGTAATGGGCTATAAATATTCAGCTTATTTTTGGCGTATTTGAAAGTTTCATTTAGCTTTCGATCAGAGAGCTCCTCATCGGATCTTGGTCTTCATCAACTGCTCCTGATTGAAAGGTAGGACAGGGAGTTTCAAAGTACACGCACTACATGCATATATAAAAAAAAAGGTACAATGTTTAGAGAAGAATGATCCCTTTGCGTATGTCAGAAGGAATTTTAGATAATATCTATCAAATTTCCTGGGCCATTGAAGCCCTCGAAAAACTTATTCAGATCAATAGACAATATAGGCCAGGGATTAACAAAGGTAAATATTGGAAAAAAAAGAAAATGAATTTATTGAGGAAAGGCAAACATTGGTTAAGAAAATATCACATCCTGAGTGACTGATTCAGTTAAGTTTGTCTGTGTATGCCAACGCATGGGCTCCTTAAAAAATTATAGAACTTTGAAAGATACCGGTGAAATAAATCCTTAATTGTACCAAGGCACTTGCGAATAGTTGTTTATCAGATACAAGGAGGAAATGTTTGAAAAAGTGTTCGTTTGAGCGCGGATCTCACGCCATGTTCATCGAATAAGTTCTCTCATTGCCGCGATAAGTGGCAACGAACTGATATGAATTGACACAACGGAAATGTTCCTACAAAATACAACATACAAAGCGATACATTACCATTCAATGAGTATGGTTCAATTTAGCGAATCGTTTCCGCGAGCTTAAATACGGCTCAAATTGTTTGAGGACAAGGCTTAGTTTGAGTCAGAATGTCTGAAAACAAGACTGATGTGAGAACTGCCACGGGGCCCTCTTTGGCCAATTTCGAGAATAAACTCTTCTGTGGTGGGATAGGTGTTACCCCAAATTAAGAGACTTTTAAAAGTATGAATATCATGGTTATGGTTCAGCTTGGTAAAACTATGATTCTGTGCCTGTGAATAAGCAGTCGAAGACAGGGATGAATTTTTAGCCGAATCTCGACCAAACTCATCTAATGAGATTAGTGATAAATGACAATATGAAATTCTTACTAACCGCTGATATTTGTAGGTTCTTCAAAATGTTATTGATTTTGAGTGCCATGATTTTCGTCTTCGTTCAGGACCGTGTGGTAAGAGGGTTTTACCTGACCTTAATTTCATGACTTTGGCTAACATTACATGTCTAGTCTCAACATTTCTTATTTGCCTTACTGTCACCCGCATCTGATATTTCAGAATTTATGTCCGTAAGCCATTTAAACGATTTAAGTGAAATACCTATCAGTGACCTTTACCATATGCAGTTTTCTCTTACAATGGGTCTTGTATCACAGGTGTGTGACAGGGAACTTTTCCCTGTTTCCATGTTCAAAATGGATATTGACGAGAGCCAGCAAAGTGATCTGCAGGAAAACGACAAGATTGAGCTCCTTCAAGGAGGAGAAGATAGTGAAAGGTAGGAGTAGACAGAAAATGGAGTTTCTGGTGCATTTTGAGATCAACCTTGATTTAAAAGGTAACTCATAAATTTAACTTTGACTTCAAGGTTAACTTGAAATCAACGTTGATTTCAAAACACAGTTCTGGCTCATTTTGGAGACAACCCTGATTTTGAAGGGGAACTCATGAAGTACATCAACCTTGATTTCAGAGTTGACTTGAAGTCAACCATTGATTTCAAGCAAAGAGTTCTTGCCAGGAGAATGGGCTCCTGTTCTTGCACATTTTGAAATCAACCTCGATTTCAAAAGACCATTTAAATTTTTCACAAGTGAATAATTTCACACCCTCTTCACAATGTCTAAATCTGTACTTTAAGTCTGTACTTTGAAATCAACCCCGTTTTCAAATGTATCATGAAATATGAGTTACCTTTAAAATCAAGGTTGTTCTCAAAATGCGCCAGAAACCCCATTTTCAACTACTGTAGGAATAAATTCTTACCAACCGAGTGCGAAAGCTGTACCGGGGAATATTGATCCGTGCAAGAGAATATGAATTGGTGGCTTATTTTCTCTTGGTCTGAGGTCGTGACAGTACCCACCGAGGGGAGCGAGGTCCGTACAAAAACAAACACTTAAAATTTCGTTTCTCTAAAAGTAAAGCCCAAAAAATGGAATAAAACTTAGGTTTGGATCATTCAATACGGTCATTTTGCTTGGCTTTCTGTCTGTATTTTTGCAGTATCCTTCAGTACAACACTGTGGTATATTTTGCGTATTAATGGAAGAATAGCTTGTAAATTCACAGACTCGAGGGAGTCACAGTGGGAGGCGCAGTGAGAGACCCAGTGGAGGCGCATAGGCCTTATGGTCAGTGCACTGGACTCTGCGTCGAGAGGCCCGGGTTCGAGACCTGGCCAAGACTATGCGTTGTGTTCTTAGAGAAGACACTCTGCTCTCACAGTGCCTCTCTTAAGGGCACACTTAATTTGGAGCCTCGCTCTATTGTGTGTTCCACATCGTCATGATGAAAGCGATTAAAAGAAAAAAGAAACAAATGAGACAAAAAAAAAAAAGCCTCGATCGAACAATTCTAAGTGATAACCATGCCAAAGTCTCCCAAGTAATCGGCCACTAAGATCAATCATTTCCAAATGTTGACCATGAATAGCCTCCACATCCCTAAGCCGGATCAGATTTATTTTTATCATTATTATAACTATTATTTTTATCATTATTATAACTATTGTTATCATGATTACTACAAAAGATGAGATTCAGATATTGCACCAATCAAACGGTAAACATCTTCATCATCATTATGACTGGCACAATTATTAAACGAGATGACAGCAAGTAAATGCATTCAAGAAAATTAGTAAATCTACTAGACAAGAACCAAAAGTTAACTTTGTCCTATCAATAACCGGAAATTGCTAGGAAAATAAACTCTTGACTTGCGATTTTGTCTATCTAGCTCTTCGTAAATGAACACTTGCTGAACAATTCCGGGCTAATCAGATTTATGCTCTCATCAATACTCTCAGGCGCGCAGTTGGTCCACCAATCGATGTTGATGTTCAGCCATTGAAAAATCAAATTGCTGATGCTTACGGTTTCCAGAAGGATCCCAATAAAGATCAATGGAAGAAGCTACCAAGTTTTGAAGGTCAAATCGGAAAAGGAGGCTGGGCAGCAGCTGCACAGTTAGCGGAGCAATTCTTCAGAAACAACAACAACCACGCAACACCATGGCAAAATTTACTGGCTACACGAACCCCCATCAACCTCCTTTACATCACAGCTGCTAGATACCTTTTTGTAACCCATGTTCTTTGGGTTCAAAGTAATAGAAAGTTAATTGCTTGCAAGGAAACTAGAGACAAATACAGCGGCATTATCCAAAGCTTCGAGATCCCTGCAACTGGAGTGTGTTTTCCTTTACCTTATGGCAGCGCCACCTATAAGTCAGACTACGACGTCGGGCTCATCGGAGTAAATTCTGGAACCCTCACACAGAGCTTTAATCAGTATTTTCAAGCCGCCGGCCCGAATGGATTTGGCAAACCCTCAGAGCTTGTATTTGACACAAATGTTTATGCCTTCACTCTTGAATTCGCCATGCCCGCGATGTTTCTCAAGATTCCCAATACGTTTCCTGACAAAGTTGCGAAACTTGAAACAAAAGTGAAGTACAAAATGCAAGAATTGGCCAGTGCTTATTATAAGATGTTCAAGTACAGCGACAATTTTTTTCAAGCGTTGACGACGTCAGCTCAAAATAACATGCAAGCTGCGCCTTGGCAGGTTCTGAACGAGTGGCTGACAAAGTTCGACAACATGAACACCGCTGAAAATTTCAAAAAGGGGGCAAGAACCGACCAAGCCTTCAGACTCGCCCACAATAATAAGTACCAAGCGTTTGTGGCAGCCGTATCACAAAACGGAGGATATGAGCCCAGTATGATAGGTGATTAATGATTCGTTGAGCTAAAAGTCTTTAAGCTTATCGACTTGAAATGTTTCCTTATTATGTGTTAAAGTCAGTTTCAGCATGCCTTTGGTTTTCCTTAGTTATCATCTGTGAATGGTCCAGAAACCCACGCCGCTCTCTCGACCATTCAGTCGGATGCAAAGCCTAAGTCAAGCCCGTTTTGTGTACTTGCGTCCTCCCGCGCTTAGAACAGTTTTCTTGTCTTTATTTTCAATGTTTAGTTATAATTGCCTCTTGACATCTACAATAAATCAACGGTTGATTGATTTGGCTATAAAAATATGATGGTTAAAAATTGAAACGAAACTACAAATATTCCGAGAACAACTTTTTTCAGTTTTCACTACAAGAAATACATTCAGCTCAGTGGTTTAACAGAACAGGAGTATTCAAAAACAAATACCGCGGGCGCTTATTCAAGGAATAACTATGTTGCATCATAAGGTTAAACAACATGCAATAGTGAGCTAAAATTAACTTTAAGTAACGACTGACACGAACAATTCCTGCCTCAACAGACAACGTTGCTAAGGCGCTACTCTACGCTGCAGAGGCGTATCATACCCGCGGCGCCATGCGGCATGTGGTACAGGGCATGCAGATGAAGGCGATCAACAGGGGCGAGTTTAACACACCGCTGTTAACTTATGACTTGTGGGTGTCCATGATCGAAAACTGGGGAGATGCAAATAAGGAGTACGCACACTGTGGCCCAAATGTCCTCATAGCGGCGTGCTTAAACAAGATGAGTAAATACCTGTGGAGGATGTTCAACGCGATGCGACTAGTCCGTGTCCGTATGCCATCTAGAAGCAGTCAGGGATTGCTAGCCTTTGGTACAACCGACGACCCTGAAGCTGCTGCGCTGCAATGGCGGCGAAATGGCCAAGCTACAGAACCTAAAAGTTATTACAACTTTTTGAAAAAGTTCCAGTGTAATGGAATGGTGAACGTAGCAGCTCAGGCACCCGCCGCTAACCTGGGTCTCTCCGTGGCTTGTATGACAAGAATCAACAACGTAGTGGATGCCTATAATGCAAGGCTGGCAGCTCTTGTGACCAACAAGGACGGAGATGTCATGGCTTAACAGAGAACTTCTCCCAACAAAGGCAACACATTATCAAGCGTACAGATAGGGAGAATTCAGGAAATCGTCAAGAGACTTTACTAACGTTAATCAATTATACATCCAAATTCTAACAAATATTTAATCAGAGAGGAGAATCTACAACTGATCATGTGTAAGATGAGCGGCTATCATACACCACCAAAACAGTATAGCGACACTATTATAGTTAATCTTTAACTTGCCCACATTTAAAGTATCTACCATCAAAGTTTAGCTCTCTTTATTATCTTAAAGGAGATAAAGAGGGATAAATGCCAAAATACACTCTTGAATCTAGAACAGTTTTTCCTTTCGCTTCGAATTCCTTTGTCGACCCAGAAAAATCAACTGAAAACTTGGTCTTGCATGAAAGTGAAACGATTTTGGTCTAAACTTGATTCAAACGTAACTTAAGCGAATATAAACGACTAGAATTCAGGAGTGTAAATTGTTCTTTGTCAACTTAAGTTAACCGCATTTATTCGAAAAAAAAAAGGTTTAAAAAGCCAACTGTCGTATTGAACACTTTAATGTGGAACACCTAAACTAGGATTACTTTCTCCTATGAATTATTTCTCAGGCAAAAACTGTTTACACAAGTAATTTGTGAGAACCATTTGCATCTTGAAATAATAAACTGTTGGAACCAATCAAGTGATAACTTGTTTCTGTTCATTAAGTTGAACTTATTCTTGAACCCAGATCCCACGAGTGAGTCTGGCTGAGGGAGATTCGGATAGGAGTTTAAGATGTCTGTTAAGTCGAGTAGTGCATGCGTAATGAGGATTGAAACTGTCTTAGACAAATGAATCCTCAGTCAGATTAATAAGCATAGAGAGGCCGCCGAGAGAATAACTCAAAACAGTGGTCATAAATTCAATCGTCAATCTTCCTCAAAAACCAGATTCAGGTTGTCAGTGGAAAATCACATGGGATGTCCATGGTTTCAATTCAGGGCTTTACATTGATCACTAGCCTTACTTTTCTCGGTTAAAAGAACAAAAGTAAAGAAACCGACAATATTCGCCTGAGGTTTCAAATAGCTCGCTTAAATCGTCAATGATTATTTCAAAATTACTCGGCAAATTTTTGACATGCTTCTTCTTGACCTAACTCTTTTTTAGGGTTTAGAAATCAACTGACTCTAAATTGAATCATGAACAATTTCAATCATTAGATTCTATTCGATGAGGCTCCTTTTTTCTGGTTCTTTGTAACACAAGCTACGACGACGTACAAATGTGAGACGCTGTCGACCCGGCTAAAAAAGATGGCGTAGTTTACAGGATTCCCTGTGAGTGCGGCAAGGTGTACATCGGAGAGACTGGAAGACCTATGCAAGACAGAATTAAGGAGCACGATCGAGACATCCGACTCACCCGTACCGAGACCTCCGCCGTTTCAGAACATGCCCACAACACCGGACACAAGCCACTCTGGAACAAAGTAAAGTTTATTGATCGTGACCCTTATTACTACACGCGCAGGGTCAAAGAGGTAATTCATATAAGACTTCACCCGAACAACATCAACAGGGATAGTGGAAAAGAAATTCCAGAAGCGTGGATGCCCATGATCAAAAAAGACAACAACAGGAGATCCGTACGACAGCGGACCGCCGAGGGATCAAATCACTGAGTGAAACAGCAAGGATCGAAAAGCACCAATCAGAGCTGTTGAAAAACAACTAATCACAGCAGAGCCTCATGCTTTATAAGATCACGCATGACCAGTCGACCTCCTCGCCTGAAGAAGACCGTAAGAAGATCGTGAGACAAACGAAAAAACTAGAGAAAAAGGTTTTATCGTGAGACACTTTGTAAACAATAAAGCGCCTTTGTTTCATTAGGTAAGATAACTCTTAAGGTAATTGTAAGGTCATCCAAAATCTCTTTTGCTCCAGACAGTGACTTTTTTAGTTTTTTTATTGGATCAATGAGGCTGCGAATCTTGGTTTTCCATTTGGAGGTCTCGTCATGCAGATGATCATACAGCTCAGTAGGAAAACACTTTGAAAAAAAACTAAATTGAAAATAGAAAGAAAAGATTAACCACATCGCTCTATTGGGGAAAAGTAATTAACCAGCCAGCAGTGTCTGGTAGCGACTACATCAATTTTACCAATCAAATTTTTTGAAATAATTAGTAATTAAACGTCTGCGGTTGTTGCGAGATCACTTTTATCCGTCAATCTCAGTAGTCCTTTGTGCTTTGAGGCTTCATTTAACTTTCGAAAAAGAGCACTCACGAGATATTGGTGCTTTTGTCATGTTTTGATTCACTGCCCCTCTGGGAGTGCGTCAAATCAAAAGGTGAGCAAAAGATTTTTGAGCAACTGTATTTTTTTTCTGTCAGATTTTCTGGTCTATTTAGACCCTTAAGAAAAAAGTATAACCATTTCCAAGGTGTAGTGTGGGCAAACACCATGGAAAAAAATTGAATAAAATGAAAAGGTTATCCACACCGCTCTGTTCCTTAAAAAAGCTTATTATCAGCCAGCAGTATCTAGGAGCGACTGTATTCATTTTTACCAAATTCAAATACAAAATAAAAATCTGAAAAGAGCGTACAAGCGACACCTGAACTGTTAGAAACTTTTAAGTTGCGTCATCGATACCTGAAATGTTAGAAACATTCTGTAACATATATATCTCCTCTAACTCACCAGTTTTTTTTAATCTCTTCTTGACTTTTCAGTTACAAGTTTACTTTTCATAAACTATCCGCTTCAATAAAAGAAATATATACTTTTAGCTTGAACTTCTTGCCTTACCTTTTGATTTGATTAACTCATCGTAAGGCAGAGACAAATCAAAACAAGACCCCAATACAGTCCTAGTGCGCGCTTTTCGGAAGTTGAATGAAAGCAGCACAAAGCACAAGGAACTACTGAGATTTACAACTAAAACTAGTTTAGCCACAAGCGTAAGAACGTTTTAATTATTAATGATTTCAAAACGTGTAATTGGTAAAATTAATACAGTCGCTACCAGACACTGCTGGCCCTGAACAAGTTAATTGACTACCAGTCGCGGTTCGTTTCTTTCCCTTTCTTTCAGCTCATAACCCAGAAACAAATATAAGTTGAGCTTCAGATCAAAAACCTTATTGAAAAAAAGCTTTATCCTTTCATGAAAAAAAAAAAAAAAATTTTTGTAAACGATTTAACACTGCTCTTTTATTGTTTGACCATTGCTAATTGCATGTAATTAGAGACACTTAAAAGCGTCTAGAAAACCCTTCAATGTTTCCACCAATACTTCTACGAGTATGTAGTTGTACCAGGCGTACCTTTTGAAAGGTTAAAAGCTTTTCAAAGAACTTCATTTGAAAGCATTGTAGGTGATTAATAAAGCGTATAGTTAATTGTTGGATGAATTTTTTAGCTTTCATTCCACCGCGTGACAGAATCATTTAGTCCAAATTAGTTATACGAGCTGACCAAAATATTAGACTGGCCACAAACTTACTTAACCAATTTTCATTTTGACAGCATTGATAAGATTCTGATTCTCAAATGTTAGAAATTTTCAGTATTCTTTTAGGACCCTAACTTATAAAACATACGATTATTTGAACCATGCCACAAGTCTTGATTAGTTAACTCCAATTTTCTTTTGATTTGAATTTACGTTTTTGTCGTCAAATGAGAGGTCAGTTGATAATTTGCGATTTGTCTCATCTAAGTCTCTTTCAGAAAATAATACTAATCTACTCCTTAAGGGTGTTACTATGGTAATCTTCTTTTCTCAACGGTCTAAACGACTACAAAATGTAAAGAACAATTGTCATTGTTTTAATGACATCCAAAAAGTCAATATTTTCTGGCCCACGATTTTTTTCTGACACCTATTGTCAGCTATATTCAGTATTTATTACATTTAATGTCGTTTTTGTCGAAAACTGGAAGAAAATTTAGTTTATTACATTTCTTCATGTTTTGTACGGGCGAGGCGAATCTTCATTCTAGTAATTTATAATAAGAAACCAACAGGGACGTTTTTAACAGTATCTTATTTGGTCGAGTTCGCAATGCTTAAATTTAATTATCGATACCTGAAATGTTAGAAACATTTTGTAACATCTATATCTCCGCTAACTCACCGTTTCTTTTTTTCTATCTCTTCTTGATTTTTCAGTCAAGTCTACTTTTTACAAACTAACCGCTTCAATCAAAAAAATTTATACTCTTATCTTAAACTTCTTGGCTCACCTTTTGATTTGGTTTACTAGATAATAATTAAAGCAAAAACAAGGCCCTAATAGTACTTGTACGCTCTTTTCGAAGTTGAATGAAACTTCAAAACACAAAGGACTACTGAGATTTACAGCTAAAAGTGGTCTTGCCACAAGCGTAGGGACGTTTAATTACTAATGATTTCAAAACATGTCATTGGTAAAATTAATACAGTCGCAACCAGACAATGCTGGCTGGTTAGAAGCTTTTTCGGGAACAGAGAGATATAGATGACCTTTCCATTTTATTCAATTTTTTTCCATGGTGTTTGCCAACAATACACCTTGGAAATTTTGTGCTAAGCCGAGATAAAAAGATGTATATTTCAGGTCATGGCGGTAGCGCCAAAGAAGGTGTCAAACAAAAAAAATTTTAGACTGAGATAGATTCCTAAGCAAAATTTTAAGGAAATTGATTTTTCGACCCGAAACGCACCGGACCGCTTTTAGAGAGACTGCGTCTTGATTAAAAAGCACTTCATTCAAACGAGTCTTTGTTGGTGCTCAGAGTACCAGCAAACCATTAATGTTTAATGGAATCTGAAATAAGTTTTTGAAATAACAGACCAATTTTTGGCCTTATCTTTCCATGCACGCAATTTTCTTTTTTCTCTCGTTTTTATTTTTTTTGTCATTGCTGACCATAATTTCGAGGCCACTATAGGACTTTTAACTCATTATCGTGTAAAGTGTTGATCTAATAAGCAACCCAACATGCGGTATGTCAAGTCTTGACGATGCAGCAAATTTGTGGCTTCATTTGTCGAGTGGGAAATTTTTTCATACAAAGAATTTCCGTTGAAGGACGAACAGCATAAACAGACGCTAAGCAAAATTCAGCTTTTACCTTATTTGTATGTAATAAAGTCTTCAATCAGGGTGTTTTTGTTTTTTCGTTTTTTTGAGTGAGTATCGTCATTTGACCAGCCAAGAATGTGTGGTAGTTTTCTGTGTTCATATTACTAATGACGCATTTTGAAGTCATTTCTTAAACATTACTAAGCTTGTGGCAAGGTCCACCAGAAGCCATAATTATTTACCCGCTCTTAGTTCATTTGGAAGTTCCACTTGGCTACCGGACAGAGCGCACGGATCTGAAACTTGGAAGTCAAAAGGCAACTGCTAGTAATTTGAGGTAGGTAAAAGACTTTCAAAGTACACACACTACGTTTCCGTACAACAAAAGAGGCAAGGGTATAATTTTTTAACAAGTATGACTCTTTTACTGCAGGAATTTGGTCGAATTTGGATTAAAGCTTGTAATGGTTTTAGCTTTTTAGCTTTTCAAACAACTCGTTCAAATCAAAACTGAATGAAAGCCAGGGATCTTCAAGTCCATTTAAAAAAAAGCAAACATCGTTTCGAAAAAAGAAGTTCCTGAGTGGATGATTGAGGTTGATTGGAAGTTGAACTTATCTCCTGAGTCCTTCATTTTGTTCCTCCAAACACAGTGTTTCTTCACGGGGCTTGTCACTGAACCCCGATTACTTCAGAAAACCCTATATCCTGATATGTTGAGGATAAATAAAAATTATCTCAGTTTAAGGCAGCAGTAGAACGAACGCCTGTAGAAGTACTCACAGTTTCACAATTTGAGTAACTTATAGACACCTGAAGTTCAGAAAAACGTCTATCTTTGCGATGACCGATTAATCATTGTTTCGGGAGATCTTTTCCACCAGAACAATTTCCTCGTTAATTCAGGATTGTCATCTACGTTAAAATGAATATTACTGTTGATTCATTACGGAATATATGGCTACGCGCCAAAAAGTCAGAAGGAAAGAAAGAAGGAAAAGAGCGTATAGCATACTTTTCCTAAGAGCTTTTTTTCTTTCCCTTTTTTAAATGAGAAAAAGGGGCAGATTTTAGAATTTGAACTGAAGAATTTGCTTTAAATATTGATGAAAACCTGAAGCAGTCAATTAACTTTTAACTAGAATATCGAAAGGATTGAAAAGCAAAAAAGGAAGTCTTCATCGAGGCAAGATTGGTTCATCAAAAAGAATTTTAAGGCAAAAACCACTTCATTCGTTTCTTTGCATCTTTCACTCTAAGTTATACAACCAGAGTCACCTTAAGACAACCTGTAAAAAGTACAGTCCTTTCTTACACCGGTGACATCATCTTGGTAATTATGAGGCCATATCTCGTAGCAGGCCTCAACTTTTTGTCCAGTTTTGAAGATGTTATATACTCTCGGCGATTTCGTATTTGAAATTTTTTTAATCAAATAGATGCTTTTGCAAGCAAAAAACTTAATGCAACGAAAAGAATGAGTTTCTGGTAGTCACTGTAAAAACGTTTTTTATTGTTATGAGCCTTTTTTTCTTGCTGCGATTTTTTTCGTGCTTTTTTTTTATGCTTAGTTCTTAGTAGCACAACCTTAAAATACACCTCGCACGCTGTAGATAACACCGTTGATTAAATAAATGACAGTGAAGTCATGAACAAGCTCAATCTGCGGATAGTTTTTACGGATAGTTTTTACAGCTCTTTTACCATCATGATTATTCGATATTTATGGTAAACAAAACACAAAGGATGTATAAGCAATAAGATCGCTAAAGTAAAAAACGCTTGAAACAGGATCGAAGTGCCGCCACGCACACAGCACCCCATGGGAAGGTTGAGTGTAATATGGTGAAATTTTTAGCGGCTTCGCTGTTTTCTGTTCGACTGAATATTGTATCACGTGTTATAAATGACATTACATTATTCTGAGCCCTTGTTGATATTTGCAGGTTCTCCAGAATGATCCCAATTTTGAGTATCTTGGTTTTCATTTTGGTTCAAGGACATGTGGTAAGAAATGTGTAACCTATCGACCTCCGTCATATATCATCATCATCATTAGGTCGAGCATGCTCGCTATTCCATGACACGCTCCCTCCACCTTTCTCTGTCTTCCATTGCAGTTGGTAGTTCTTCAAGTCTGCATCCTATGTCATCCATCAATTGGTCAATGTAGGTCTTTTTTGGGCGTCCTCTCGCCTGATGTCCATGTGTTGGCTTCCAGAGTAATACATCCCCTGCTAGTTCTTCTTTACTGCGCCAACAATGCCCTGCGAATCTCATCCTATGTTGCTGTAGCGATTTACTTATTGGCGGGATGTGGCCGTAGAGCTCTTCGTTTGTGGGGTGGTCCTTCCATGATCTGTTTAAGGCAGTGCGTAGCATTCCAGTGTATGCTCCATCGATTTTCTTTTCCAGATGTGTGCATATATATATATATATATATATATATATTTATATACATATATACATATACATAGATGTGTAAATATATATATATACATATACATACAGAGATGTGTATAAATATATTTATATATATATTGTGGGAAGAAGGGATGAACTTGTAGTTTATTTGTCTTTTTCCTGCCACAGTATATACGTCGCTCTACTCCTATGTATTGAGCACTGTTTTACGAAAGTCAAAATCTTACACTATATATATATATATATATATATATATATATATATATATATATATATATATGTATGTATGTATGTATGTATGTATGTATGTATGTATGTATGTATGTATGTATGTATGTATGTATGTATGTATGTATGTATGTATATATACACAGATGTTCAAATCACCTAAAATTTTCGATAACTGATGCAAAGCAAATATCGTTCGTGGAGTCTGAAAAAGATGAGCTAATTGACAAATAACCAAACTTTGGACAAAAACCATTCACAGATCTGTTAAGAATATATTGTTTAGCATTTGCAAATGAGTAAGTGGAAAATATAAAGATATCTCGAAAAGCGATCTGAATCTAGATCAATAATTTCCTTACCAGCTGGCAATTTTGCCTCCTCTACTCAACTGGGTACACAGAGTTGATATCTGGGTGCGTTGGCCAGCCAAGCCACCGTTTATTTAACGCCAAATCGATATGCCAACAAAAGTCTATTACAATTGAAGTAAACTAAATTCACCAAAGCCGGACACGAAAACCCCTAAAAAATCAGCAGGTGGAAAAAACGGGGAACGTGAGCCCCCAAGCAAGGTAGCGGTGCCACCCTTGGGGTTTTAGGGTATCCTATGAATGACATGTTATACACAGTTACTTAAGGTAGTATGCAAATGCAGCTCTAAATTTATACAAAAACGAAAACGAACAACTAAACACGGCGAAGGCTGACCGCAGAATGCCTTGCCCTACGTACGACCTCTACTTACAAACCACTATCCCGTAACTCTCCGCGCACCTCGCATCCGCCCCCAGTCCTCTGATACGTGCCAGAAAAATATTAATTTATACCAATAAGGATTACCACAAATTACGTTTTAAAGTACTGGCCCTTTAAACCCTAAAAGTGACGAGAATCTAATTAATCATTAATATCATGAGAGTAGAGGAAATGGTCGCAACCTAAGAAGCTTTGATGGGTAAACAAATTCTCCTTGTCAGTACTGAAAAAAATGAATGGAGACGGGTATGGAGAATATGGAGACTGATGTTAGGGTGTAAAAGATTAACGATAATCTGGCGTTATGTGTAGAAAACACCCTTCAAGTAGCTGAAAGTTTTGTCTAGCTTCTTTCCTTGTTTGCTTAACGACGTAATGCTAATCTAAGGTAAAGTAAAACTTATTCGGGCTAACCTGTTTTTAGGAGGGTTTATTGTGCAACTAGATTCGCATATTTCTGCCACGAGTTTCCTCTTACAATGAAACTTTTACAACCTTTGTTGTCAAAGTAAGGTTAGTTAGTTAACAATTAATCCATGAGCACGTGTCGGATATGAGATGGTAAATAACAATCTCGTATTCAACAAGTGCGAACGGAATAATCGTTTCATCAAATTTTGTCAAATCTTGAACGTTTGGAGATTTGAAGCTTTTTTCAGCTCCGTGACAATAGGTGCGATGCATTTCCATCTAGGATGGCTCGGAATTAAAATACTAGAAATGCAATATTCGGAGTTGAAAATTTAATAATTTGTAATATTCGCTACTTTTTATTTCTGCCATTGGCTATGATTTTACTGATATTAACTGTTCAGCGAAACACAAAGAGGATATTGCCTGAAGGCAAGCGTAGAAGGAGACTTATTTCTTCCACTCTCCACAACCTTAATTTTTCCATTAGTCACTCCCAGATATTCAGCTGATCTCGCTCTATCTATTACATTAACCGTTTAAATAAGTGCAATAGAATAGACTTAAGTGAATAATATTACCACTTTAATGATATTGCCAAAAATTGTGCACTGCATTACAGGAGTGTGACAGGGAACTTTACCCGGCTTCCATGTTCAGAATGGATGTTGACGACAGCCAGCCAAGTGATCTGTCGGAAAATGGCGAAACTGAGCCTCCCCGAGGAAAATCAGATGGTGAAAGGTAAGAATTGCTGCAAACATAACTTAATGGAGCAATTTAACCCTAAGCAATTCTCAATTGCAGAGGCGGCGAAGCGTTTTGAAACGCGGGGAGAGGAGGGCTTATCTTTCACCCAGCCAAGCGCATACTCCTACTCAAATTTTCTAAACTGCCCTTTGTGTTGTTCGGTGGCTGCTGTCATTGCCAATATGGTTATGGAAGACGTGGGACAAAGGGCCTTAGCCACTTCACAGGTTAAACCCTTTTTTTGGAAACGATATGTCGATGATGTTATTTCTCTGGTATCCTATCGCATTTGAATTCAGTGGAGCCGTCTATCCGATTCACCCTTGAGCGTGAAGAAGATAGACATTTGCCCTTCCTTGATTTAAATGTGTACAGAGGTGAACAGGGTAATTTAGAGACAAGTGTTTACCGTAAACCTACCCACACCGACAAATACTTCGCTTTCGACTCTCACCACCCTATTTGCCATAAAAATTCTATAGCCAAAACTTTACTCAGGAGGACTGGCTGAAGAGAGGAAATATATTTCTAATGTCCTAAAGGCAAATGGATTTACCAAAGCCTTTTTTCGTACTGCCAAAAGTCAGTTACAACTAGTAGCAATCCTGATGAGAGGGAACCAGCGACTGGTTTTGCTGTTATTTCCTGCATTCAGGGTGTTACAGAACCCACCAAGAGAATTTTGAACAGCCACAACCTTAACGTTGCTCAAAATCCTTTTCAGACTTTAGTGCATATTTTTGCCAAACCTAAGGATCCTGTCATGAAAGAACTACGAACGCTATTCTATTCCGTGCAATGACTGTGATCACGATTATATCGGACAGACCAAACATCACTTTGGTACACGTTTGAAAGAGTATCAAAAAGCGGTCTTCTTTCGCAAAAAAGAAAATTCAGCTTTTTCGGAGCACACATGCCTAACTAACCATACAATTGGGTTGAATAACTCTAAAGTTATCACCTCTAATAGACGTTACCACCGGCGCCTTTGTTTGAAAGCTTGGCATATCAACGCCGCCCACGCTCCTTTTAATCGTGATGATAGCGGCCGGCTTACTTCCTGACGCCTATTTACACCTCGTCAGAAAAAAGGGTAGCTAATTAGTGAGGGTATAGAAGAACCTCTTTTTGCAGCGTTTAGATCACCCCTGATGAAAGCACTAGACAGAAGTGCCGAAACGTTGGAACTGTGAATTGTAACTTCTCGATTACATTCATTAAATCTTTAAACCAAAGTAGCATCGAACCATGTCAGGCAGTGACCTGCTTGGAGCATTTATCATTAGTCGCAACTGGCCGGATAGATCAGGCGGTCTTCAAAGTGATGAATAGCCAATTTCTCGAGGGTTTCCCCATAGTTTTTGTGCAAACAACATGATAATGATAGATAAAAAGTGAAAACTGACTGATCTCTCTGGGAAATTCTGATTGGTAAAAGAAGTTTCTGAAGCAATCTACCAGTGAGGTCAATCAATTTTGAAAATTGTTAGCTACCCTCAGTCTCCACTTCTCTTATTTTTTATTAACGTCCATAATGACAATTGACGCTACGATCTAAAGAATCACTCATGGCTCATTCAGTAATTCCATCGATTACAAATGCTACTTTCATCGTTAATACTATTTTTCATTATAAATATTATCATTTTTATTAATTTGTGCAAAATTGTCATCACAAATTTATCCCCTCCTCAATTCTTTCAGGCGCGCAGTTGAGGAAATTACTCCTCAGCGGTTGAAAGAAGTCATTGCTGATGCCTATGGTTTCCAAAAAGATCCAAAGGATTACCGGTGGAAAACCCCCCTACCAAGTTTTGAAGGTCAAATCGGAAAAGGAGGCTGGGCAGCAGCTGCACAGTTAGCAGAGCAATTCTTCAGAAACAACAACAACCACGCAACACCATGGCAAAATTTACTGGCTACACGAACCCCCATCAACCTCCTTTACATCACAGCTGCTAGATACCTTTTTGTAACCCATGTTCTTTGGGTTCAAAGTAATAGACAGTTAATTGCTTGCAAGGAAAAGAGAGACAAATACAGCGGCATTATTCAAAGTTTCGAGATCCCTGCAACTGGAGTGTGTTTTCCTTTACCTTATGGCAGCGCCACCTACAAGTCAGACTACGACGTCGGGCTCATCGGAGTAAATTCTGGAACCCTCACACAGAGCTTTAATCAGTATTTTCAAGCCGCGGCCCCGAATGGATTTGGCAAACCCTCAGAGCTTGTATTTGACACAAATGTATACGCCTTCACTCTGGAATTCGCCATGCCCATGATGTTTCTCAAGCTACCCGAAACGTTTGCTGCCAAAGTTGCGAAACTTGAAACAAAAGTGAGGTACAAAATGCAAGAATTGGCCAGTGCTTATTATAAGATGTTCAAGTACAACAACAATTTTTTTCAAGCGTTGACGATGTCAGCTCAAAATAACATGCAAGCTGCGCCTTGGCAGGTTCTGAACGAGTGGCTGACAGCGTTCGACAACATGAACAACGCTGAAAATTTCAGAAAAGGGGCAAGATCCTACCAAGCCTTCAGACTCGCCCACAATAATAGGTACCAAGCGTTTGTGGCAGCCGTATCACAAAACGGAGGATATGTACCAAACGAGATAGGTGATTAGTGATAAGTCGTAGTAAAAATGTAAACCGACATGAAGTGATCATCCATTCAGTGTTAAAGGCAGTCCAGCATGCCTTTGGTTTTATCTTGGTTATCCTTTGTGATTGGTCTAGAAACTCACGCCACTCTCTCAACTAATCAGTCGTTCATGTAATGTTCATCTTACGTCGCAGTCCAGCATGCCTTTGGTTTTATCTTAGTTATCCTTTGTGATTGATCTAGAAACCCACGCCACTCTCTCGACCAATCAGTCCGATGCAAAGCTAAAGTCAACCCGATTTGAGTACTCGCGTCTTCACGCGCTTAGAGCAGTTTTCTTGTTTCATTTTCAATGTTCACCCCATGAGTTACCATTGACCACTTGAAATCTACGACAGATAAATGGTCGATTGATTTGGTTGTCAAGCAAGTTATGATGAAAAATGAAAAAGTGAAACTGACAATATTCCGAGAACTTTTTTCAGTTTTCACCAGATGACTAACATCTAGCTCAGTAGCCTTGACAGAACAAGAGCATTTGAAAACAAGTACCTTAGGCGCTAATATTCATGAAATAGCTATGTTGCATCATAAGCTTAAATAACATACAATACTGAGTAAAAATTAACTTTGCGTAGCGATTGACATGAACAATTCTCGCCTCAACAGACAACGTTGTTAAGGCCCTACTCTACGCTGCAGAGGCATATCACACCCGCGGCGCCATACGACATGTGGTACAGGGAATGCAGATGAAGGCGATCGATAGGGGCGACTTTAACACACCGTTGTCAACTTATGACCTGTGGGTGTCCATGATCGAAAACTGGGGAGATGCAAATAAGGAATACCACCACTGTCAGGAACTGAATGTCTCCATAGTGAAGTGCTTGAACAAGATGAGTAAATACCTGTGGAGGATGTTCAACGCGATGCGATTAGTCCGTGTCCGTCTGCCAATTAGAAAGAGATACGGATTGCTAGCCTTTGGTACACATGATAACCCCGAGTCAGCCGCGCTGCTATGGCGGCGTAAGGGTGAAAGAGCAGAAAAGAAATGGTATTACCTGTTTTTGAAAAAGTTCCAATGCAATGCCTTAGTGAATGTGGAAATTGCGCCTCTATCCATGATATGTATGACAAAAATCAACGACATGGTAAACGCCTACAATACAAAGCTGGCAGCTCTTGTGACCAACAAGAACGGAAAAGGAATGTAAGCCTCAATCTTTTTGTGACGACCTCAAGGAAAAAGTGATAACTTCTCCCAACAAAGCCGATGCATTGTCAGTCAACAGGTGGGAAGACTTAAGGAAATCATCAGGAGACCAAAATCGTGTTGAAGATACGTCTTAATTCTCACAGTTGATTTAATTTTACCCTGTAAGGATAATTTCTAATCACATGTAAGTTGGGTGGCTATCGTAGATCATTAAAGCAGTATGGGTGGTACCAGTGGGGTTAGCCATGAAGCATAGCGTAAAACGGCCAAAAGAAACTTAGCCGTTGGGCGTAAAAATTAACAAATTTTAACCGTTGGTCGTAAAAATTAACACATTTTAACCGTAAGTCGTCAAAAAAAGTTAACCGACAAAAGTGGAAGGTAATTATTAATCGTTAGGCGTAAAATGGCCAAAATCTTAACAGTTAGCTGTAAAAGTCATCACTCCACTGAGACCCTCAGTATAGCTGCAGTGTTATATTTTACTATGAACTTACTCATATTTAAAATATACGTAATTATCATCTGCTACTATCTCAAGTTAAGGTAAATTAGTCCTACACTGGTGGAAAAAACTGTCGTAAAACAGATAAAGTGTCTTGCAACATGACGACTCAATAGGAAAAATATAAACTGATAAGAACCAACATCTACAAAAACTGGAGATAACTCGCAATTCTGATGTTTGAATTTCCTATTAGGCGCCATTTTGAATTGTTTGACGTCACACGGTCGCCATTAGGAATCATTTTCAGTAACTGAGCAAATGCGCTCCTACCCCTCCCCTAATCCAACATCTACACCAACTTGTTAGAAGTTGATTGTTGTTGGGTTAGGGGAGGGGTGGGTGCGCAGCTGCTCAGAGATTGACACTGATCCGCCATTATTATGATCAAACAATAGCTCCTATGACCGCAGGAGTTCTGATCAGGCATCATGCAGATCATGGTAGCATCTAGAAAACGTCACACGATCCAATTTCTCCGCACACAATAAATTCTATAGTTTAAAAAAGCCAAGGTCTGTTTGGTTTTTTCCTCACAAAATTTTTTTTCCGCATTTATGCAGACAAGTGTTTGCTGAAGAGATCATCTTTGATAATTTCACGACAATTTGTTTTAACTGTACGAAGTGGTTTGGTATAACGATTGAGAGGAGGCAATATACGCCCTCGTGTCATGGAGGCCTTTAACTCCCGAGATCTGATTATTATCTTCCTCACCAGCTGCGTCACATTTCCTGATAAATTAGTCCACGAGAATTTGGTGTTAGATCAAGATAATAATTATCTGGTAAGTTTGAGCATTCTCACTACCTGTCAGCTGAATTATGTATGGATATTATTGGGAGAAGTTATATGTAAATCACTTGTAGGGTTAAAAAGAGAACGCTCATATTCAGCTATCTTTGATTTAAGATAGTCGTTGCATGAAAAATATCTAAGATATTCGAGCTCTAAAACCAACAGAGAAAACTCTTGATTAAAAAATTGGTAAAAAGTTGGTAAAAGAATCCATGATTGTACTTTGGAATCAATTATAAAGTAATAATGATAACATTTTTTAAGAGATTGACGATTTTCCGTTTTTCGCCTTACATAAAGTTGAACTTTGCCTACCAAATAATCTAAAATCGACTAAAATTCGGGAGTGTATATTGTTATTATCAAATTATTTTAATCGCATTTAACCGAAAAAAAAATTTAAAAGCTTAAAAAAGTCAACAGTTTTACTAAACACTATAACAACAAAACTAGGATTACTTTCTCATATGGATTATTCCCCATGCAAATACCTCTAAGACAAGCTATTGATAAGAGCCTTGTGCATCGTGTTGAAATAAATGACTGTTGGAACCAATCCAGTGGTGAATCTTTTTTATCTTTCTGGCCATATTCACACCAGTTTCAGCTACGTTTAAAGGTAATTCTAAACCTCGAACCCAGATCCTACGAGTGACCCTGGCTAAAATGAGATTGGAACATAACTTAAAATATTACTCAAATCGAATGCTGCACAGATATTTCTTAGTCACAGTGATAACGATCAACCTAAGATCTGGTTTTGAGCAGTGGCTGTGAGAATAACTAAAAACTACATATAACTTCAGTTGTTGATTTCTTTGAAAATGTTCTTCAAGAACATTATCAGGCCTTCTCCTTTTCCAAATTTCTTTCAACTAAATATTGGGAAACTGTAGGGGGTGGCCTTGGTTTAAATTCATTGATTTCCACAGTCGACTAGTCTGACTTAATTCAATTTTTTGGGGTTAGAGAAGAAAGGAAAAAAAAAAAAAAAACAAATAATTTGTGGGCCCCGCAGAGTTTGTATAAAGTATTAATATTTCCTTTTTCGAGTCACGAACGTTCGCACTTTTAGATTCCATTCAATGAGCCGTTTTTGTTTCGTTCACAGTTGTACAACCGGGGGGTCGCCGACTCGCCGTAGGACACATTTAATACAATAGAGCGCCTTTGCTTGAAACCATGTATATAACTTATAGTAAGATCACCTATAATCTCTTATATTGTAGATACGCTGGCTGAATAGTCAATTCCTGTTAATCATTTTACGATACTGACGCTCAGTTGTTGTCAGCGGTATTCCAGGGGTAAGTAAGTAAAGATTTCATTTAATATCAGCCTGCTCAGTCAACTGAGCCGATTTCCACGAAGGCGCGTTGTTACAGATACCCAATTTAAAGTCGAATCAACACCATTTTCATAAGTAAATTGAAACATTAAAGGATGAAGGATGCATCGCGTAATAAATCGCGTAATAAATCGCGTAATAAATCGCGTAATAAATCGCGTAATAAATCGCGTAATAAATCGCGTAATAAAAACTCTACAAGATCTATATTCTAAGATTTAGCTATGAGAGGGTGTAAGCGTTTATTTTGACTTTAAACGGTGATAAAGATTCCGCGCTTAAATGGAAGATAAACTTTTTTCGAGGTATTTGGTTCTAGGTATATACGTAAATGCAACTGAAGTGAGATAGAAGAACCCTTGAGATTTTATTTTGTCAAGTCTCACCATAAAAGCGACCGATTTTGTGGCAAAAAGCTTAAGTTAATGTTAAATCGAAGAAAAAGTTATATGCTAAAGTCGAGCTTAAGAATTTCCATTAAGTATTGATAATAGCTCACAAGGCAATTCATTGAGACAACTCTTTATTTGTGCTCAGAGAACCTGCTAACTTACAGCGTGTCAGGATACCAGGGTGTCTCAAGGGGGTGATTGTTTACAAAGCAGGTTGAGATTAAAAGTTTGGTCATTTTACGGCTAACGATTCTAAAATTTATTTCCTAATTAACTTGAATTATCATATTATCCGTCCGGTGCCGCACGCGCAATCCCGTGAAGGCCGGACGGGTAGAATCGAGCCGATCTAGAAAAAGCCGTCCGGCCAGAACACTGTTGCAAAAAATGAGTGACAGCATGAAAAAAAAATGAGAAAATAAGTCATATTTTTCGATGAATCGTGAATTTCTTGTTGTGACTGGGAAAAATTAAGGAAAATTCTTTATTTTGGTATCTCAGCTTTCAGTTTTTCCTGCGCGCACCACTCTATCGCGCCCTTTCGAATTTTCCAAAACCAAGTTAGTGGTCATATGACAAAAATGCTTATTGACTGAGTTTAGACGGGTCAGCCCTCTACCCCATTCTATAAGTAAATATTAGTTTACAAGGAGGGACCTGAGCCAAGTGTCTTTTTTTTAAGTACCAGAATAGAGTGTGTAACCGTATTAGCCACAAGGCAAGACACATAACAGTCCAATATTTTTTATTCTTTCAAAATGACACATCATAAGTGGGAAATAGTGTTATGGTTAGCTTTTTAAATTTCGAGTAAAGGGGATAGGTTTATACAAGTCCTACAAAAACTGTGGTGCTGCATCGGTAAGGGGTAACACAAGATAAATTGGCTTCATCAACTGAGTTGATAATGAAATTCGGCCACCATAATGAGTTTCTAAAACCGACGTTGCGAGCGTTAACCCTTCCTCAGATGCTCAAAAGCTCAGCATTCGTAAATCTTTACAGAGGCCGATTTCCATTTTCAACTCATTTGGTAGAAACAAATGATCTTCTTCAATTTTTGTCCATTAATTTTACGGATAACGTGTAAACCTCCCATAGAGACCTTCGTATGTCGCCTATTATTGAAAGGACCATTTTTTTCGTCTCAGAAGTTCATTTATATAGTTTTGGTTTTTCGATTCTGATACTTCAAGGAAACGATACTTTTTATCGCTTAAATCAATGAAGTCGTTTGTTTTCGTTATTGCCTTTATAGCTTTGATGATCATGAGCAAACTATCAAACTAGTCTAGACAGCCTTCGTCTAGTTTTGACGGAGCAGTGAGCTGGTATCTTAACCACAATGGGAGTTTTTTCTCTTATAAACAACTCAAAATTGCGGGGCGAAAGGCAACAAGGAACATTTAAAACTGTGCAAACATAAGCTCTTACCTAATTCCAAGGATCTAATCATACATTTTTCAATAGTAGCCTCTTTTGTGTTTTGAATAAAGGGACACTCCAGTCAATTACGTATGACTTTTAGTTGTTGTCCAGTTTCTGGTAGTTACAGGTAGTTCACCTCTGACAAGATTTGAATTATATCTAAAGCATTGCTAAGCTTGTGGCATGTCTGTAATGGGCCATAAATATTCAGCTTATTTTTTACTTATTTAAAAGTTTCATTTAGCGTTCGATCAGAGCGCTCCTCATCGAATCTTGTTCTTCATCAACTGCTCTTAATTGAAAGGTAGCACAAGGAGTTTCAAAGTACACGTACTACATGCATATAAAAAAAGGTACAATGTTTAGAGAAGAATGATCCCTTTGCGTATGCCAGAAGGAATTTTAGATAATATCTATCAAATTTCCTGGCCCTTGAAGCCCTCGAAAAACTTGTTCAGATCAATAGACAATATAGACCAGGGAATAAAAAAGGTAAATATTGAAAAAAAAAATGGAATTATTAAGGAAAGCCAAACATTGGTAAAGAAAATACCACATCCTGAGTGACTGATTCAGTTAAGTTTGTCTGTATATGCCACCGCATGGGCTCTTACAAAAATTATAGAACTTTGAAAATACCGGTGAAATCAATCCTTAATTGTACGAGGGCACTTGCAAATACTTGTTTATCAGACACTAGGAGAAAATGTTTGAAAGAGTGTTCGTTTGAGCGCGAATCACACACCATGTTCATCGAAGAAGTTCTCTCATTGCCGCGATAAGTGGCAACGAACTGATATGAATATGACACAGCGAAAATGTTCCTTCAAAATACAACTTACAAAGTGATACATTACCATTCAATGATCATGGTTCAATTTAGCGAATCGTTTCCGCTTGCTTAAATACGGTTCAATCTGTTTGAAGAGAAGGCTTAGTTTGAGTCAGAATTTCTGAAAACAAGATTGATGTGAGAACTACTACGGGGCCCTCCTTGGCCAATTTCGAGAATAAACTCTTCTGTGGTGGGATAGGTGTTACCCCAAATTAAGAGACTTAAAAGTATTAATATCATGGTTATGGTTCAGCTTGGTAAAACTATGATTCTGTGCCTGTGAATAAGCAATCGAAGACAGGGATGAATTTTTAGGCGAATCTCGACCAAACTCACCCAATAAGATAAGTGATAAATAACAATATGAAATTCTTACTAACCGATGATATTTGCAGGTTCTTCAAAATGTTATTGATTTTGAGTGCCATGATTTTCGTCTTCGTTCAGGACCGTGTGGTAAGTGACGAGTAAGAGAGTTTTACCTGACCTTAATTTCATGACTTTGATTAACATTACATGTCTAGTCTCAACACTTCTCATTTGCCTTACTGTCACCCGTATCTGATATTTCAGAAATTATGTCTGTAAGCCATTAAAACGATTTAAATGAAATACCTGTCGGTGGCTTTCTCTATATGCGGTTCTCTCTTACAATGGGTCTTGTATCACAGGTGTGTGACAGGGAACTTTTCCCTGTTTCTATGTTCAAACTGGATATTGACGAGAGCCGGCAAAGTGATCTGCCGGAAAACGACAAGATTGAGCTCCTTCAAGGAGGAGTAGATAGCGAGAGGTAGGAGTAGACAGGAAATGGAGTTTCTTGCCCATTTTGAGATCAACCTTGATTTTAAAGGTAACTCACTGCATAAATTTAACTTTGACTTCAAGGTTGACTCGACTTGAAGTCAACCTTGATGTTAAAGGCAACTCATGAATTTAGCCTTGAAATTAACATTTATTTCAAATAAAGAGTTCTTGCCAGGAGAATGGGCTCCTGTTCTTGCACATTTTGAAATCAACCTCGATTTCAAAAGACAATTTAAATCTTTCACAGGTGAGTAATTTCACACCCTCTTCACAATGTCTAAATCTGTACTTTTAAATCAACCCCGTTTTCAAATCCATCCAATGAGTTACCTTTAAAATCAAGGTTGATCTCAAAATGCGCCAGAAACCCCATTTTCAACTACCGTACGAATAAATTCTTACAAACCGAGTGCGAAAGCTATACCGGGGAATATTGATCCGTGCAAGAGAATATGAATTGGTAGCTTATTTTCTCTTATCTTCTCTTATTTTCTCGTTCTATGGGCAAACAAATAATTTGGTAAACCTAGGAGCACGTGGATCTTCTCCATCTGGCCATCAATCCAGCGATGGCTG